TTGTTCAAAAATTTTGGTTCTCCTTTAGTTTAGGCCGATTGTCATTTTTATTACATTTCTAATTATGTGTAATTTTGCCTCTTTGGCAACCGCATTAATGTTTTGAAAATATTATGTAGTGATAATGTTTAACTTAAAAACTTTTGGAATAGAATTAAATAAATATGAAAGCACTAAAATAAGATTGTTAGTCCTTTAGGATTTTAAGAATTAAATAAAAGTGCACACTCTCATTCAAAAAAGAATCTATTAGTCAACAGTGAATCGCATAAATCTTCCATTTCTCCCACAGCTGGAAAATTTGAGCTTCAGACGAAGAACAATGATTGCTTCAGAACCAAAAATAGCAGAGAAAACAGACGAATTCACTTTAGGAAGTCCATATTCATTGATCGAAACAAGAGGATTGATTGAGAAGAACATCGAGATAAAACGCTAACACAGAACAATACTACCAAAATATACATCAATTCAAAGGAGAAATCCGAAATGCATGCAATCAACGAGATCCAGAGCCGCAAACCCTAGCCGCCGAAGCCGTACAGTGTGCGGCCCTGTCGCTTGAGAGCATACACGACATCCATGGCGGTGACGGTCTTCCGGCGAGCGTGCTCAGTGTAGGTGACGGCGTCGCGGATCACGTTCTCCAGGAAGATCTTGAGGACGCCGCGAGTCTCCTCGTAGATGAGACCGGAGATCCGCTTCACTCCTCCACGGCGCGCCAGGCGGCGGATGGCCGGCTTCGTGATCCCCTGGATGTTGTCTCTCAGAACCTTCCGGTGCCGCTTTGCTCCGCCCTTTCCCAGCCCCTTCCCGCCCTTTCCGCGGCCAGACATCTTTCCCGGCGACCGAGATTGAGAATTCCTTTGACTTCTTCGTGAAATTGGAGAAAAATGAGAGCGCTGTGGAAAGCGGAAAGGTTTCGGGAGATTTATATAAGCGAGATGAGTTGAGGATCACCGTTGGATGGATTTTGTTTAATCGACGGTGTAGAATGAGGATCCGCGTAATGCGGCATTTGGCTATTTAGAGCCGTTGATAGAATTTGCATCGACGGCTGAAAGAGGCTTTGTGTTTCATGACGCGGATCGTAAATTTTTAACGAGGTGCGAAATCTTCGCGCGTTTGGAGATTTTGAATTTGGATGGTTTTTGGAGTTTTGGTTTACCGGTTGAAGCCCAAAAAAATGCCTTCTCCACTTTGACTCAAATTATTGTTGATGAAATGAAATTGACTTTGGGATCTTTTGACACCAGCGTTAAAATTTGCAAACCGTTTCCTAAAAGATTATCTGACAATTTATGATAATTTTTAGCGTTAGTGTTTTTAGAATTAATTTACATAATTTAAATTTTATTTAAAATACTAACACTAATCAAAAATATTATTTCAAAACGAGACTTTGTAGTGATCTAAACAATTAAGGAGCTGTTTGGCAACTTCTGAATGGATAAGTGCTGAACCAGTAAGAGGTCTGAATCATTAAGTGCTGAACCAATAAGAGGTCTGAACCATTAAGAGCTAGTATATTGCTTAACTATTCAGAGGCAAATGTCTGATCAATTCAGATAACAACTCTTAACCATTCAGACTCTGTATAATACTTAATCATTCAGAGGCAAATCTCTTAACCATTCAGACATCTGAACCATTAAGAGGCTGAAACAAACAGTCTGAACCATTAAGTGCTGAATCATTCAGACATCTGAACCATTAAGAGGCTGAAACAAACAGCCCCTAAGTCTTAATTAACCCACTCAGAAAAATGTTAACAGTGGTTAGAAAAAGACTGGCTCAACATTATTCCAAACTGAAAATTAGGTTTTAAACTTGTTCTAATAAATTACTCTCTCCATCGAAAAACACATTCTCAATTTGACTTGGCACAATTTTTTTAAAAAGTAAAAATTATGTGGCTGAAAGTAATATAGAGAAAAAAAATTAAGAATTACTCAAAGTTGGAAAATGTTAGAGGCATAAACAAATAGTTCACAAACTTCACAAATATGTCTTTTGTAGCTTTAAAATTAAAATATCTTTTATCATTTGAATGAATTTTATTTATAAGAAAATGTTAAAAAGGAAAGTTTGTAAGTTTTGTAAGATGTTTGTTTGTGACTCTAGCATTGCTTCTCAAATTTTTTACTAAACAAAAAGAGAGAAAAAATTTTTGACGTCCTAAAACTGAAATAAAGAGCCTTTTTTGAGACGAAAATAATACCTCAAATATTTCTTTTTTATACATTTAAAAAATATTTCATTCATTCCAAATAATTATTACGATTTTATTTAAGTTATTTTTCTCTTTTTAACAAAGTGCACAATATATTTACCACCTCCGCGTCAAAATTTATACCAAGTACAACAATTGCATACCACATCAACTAACTCTTACGGAGTACGTTTTATCCACCAAATTTATGTGAAATTTTTAGTAAAGAGTACTTGAACAATGTCCATTGGCAAGAACAATGACTAATGGGGTAGATATTTACTTTGAACAATGATGTGTGTATTGCACCCAGAACCGGTCAAAGATGATGTTCAAATAATCAACCGGTCAAGTTGATTATTCTTGAATGGTAGACCTAAATCGTCAGTAAAAGGATAATGGGTTGACCAAAAAGTTGATCGGTATACTTCGGATAGTATACCGGTTAAACTATTTTATCGCCTCATTCATTCCCCAATTTCAGTAAACTCATCCCTCTCGAACTACCCAATATGGTTTCTAGGGTTGGAAAATGTCGGCAAAGAAGAATCCAAAAGGATTTGGATTGTAACAACCAAGATCAACAGAGGATCATTGGAGATACTCGAGTAATTAGTCCAACGCATTACGCGACAAAGGGGCCACCTTACTCACTAGATAACAAGACAGGTAGAGGATAGAGGCAGTCACCTCGCACCACCCAGGAACGTGCCCTGACGTGAATGCACGGCGCCATGTCTCCTCTAACCCATTATAAATACTGTTGTAACTTTCAAAGGAAGAGATCTGATTTCTTCTATCCAAAACTCTCGCGTAAAAGATCCCGTGTATTCTCCTATATTTATAATATTAATTGGGCTACACGTGTTTCAATCTACAGTCCTCCCGGTCACTTTGAGGGTTTTTACCTTTCACTTTTACGAATTCAGTAAACAATCCTAGACCCGATCTAGAACTGTTACCCAGTTAGCTAATTTACACCATCAAAAAATATTCAGCGGTGTTGAACATTTATTAGAATAATGTCCACAGGATATTAAACGATAGTGCTACATTGAAAATTAAAATATATGCTACTAAATTAGAAAATTCACTATGTTTTAGTAATATACAGATAAATTCGCCTAAATTAATTCAAAATTTTTTAAATTTTATGTATTTAGGATTTGAAAGGATAAGAAATGAAATTTACATACCAGTTCCATACTGAAGTGTTTGTTAAGTTTTGAGTTTTATGGTCAAAATTGAAAAACTTTTGACCGCTAATTAAATAAAATTAATATTAGATATTGATACAAAAAATTATGAGATTTTGCTTTTAAATTATTGGCAAACTATGGTTTTATCTAATTAATACTCCTTCTGTCCCAAAAAGTCCTCCAAGTTTAAAAAAACCATGTCCCGAAAGATCTTTTCTATTTCTATTAAAAACCATTTGTATCCTTTATTTTTTCATACCTTTCATATCACATCATATCTTTTTTCTAATAATCTACATATCACATCCTTCTTCTACCCATCACATCAAGAATATTTTTGAAAAATCAAACACAAAATTATCTCTCTCTTATTTTACCACTTTAGTCAATATGTCCATATCTTTATGGGACGGAAGGAGTATATAATAAAGTTTTTTATTTAATTATAGATCAGATACTATCTCTTATTGACTCGAAAGAGTGAAAACTAGTCAAATACTTTGGATTAGGAGTTTTTAAAAGCTACATTAAATCTCTACAAAATAAATTTCATATTACTACTCCCTCCGTCCCTGAAAGAATTTCCTGTTTTGATTAACGTGCAAAACCCCGTAGATTTTAAAATGATTTTCTTTGAAAATTGGTATGGAAATAACACATAAAAAAATTATATTTAAAAACTACATCGAAAACTCTACAAAATAAGAGGCGACAAGAATATTTTATTTTATCAAATTATCAATGAAAACACGCAAACAAATTGGAGTTATCGAGAGGCCGTAATAGTAAACAGGAAAGACTTTTTGGGACGGAGGGAGTATTTTATTTTATCGAATAATTAGCAAAACCAAGTAAAGAAAATTGATGTAAGTTAGGAGGATGGAGTCACTATACTGAATTTGGTGTAGTAGAGTACATGAAACAAACAGACTGGCTAATTACCGAGCGAAACTATTTAAAACTATTGTAGCCATACTGTGACCCAATTGTTATTGACTTATTGTAGACTTGGGAGTGCGAAGTTATTGCACGATTATGCTATAATGTTCGAAATTACAATCTTTACATAAGTATTTATATTATACGAAAAAACAGTGAAACTACAAAAAACTATTGTAGCACGTCCACGTTTTTGATCATGTAACACCGTGTGATTTGATCATTTCAAACACTTTTTTCTCAGTGTTTAGTTTAAGCATTTTGTAAAGAAAAATAATTTACCTAGACTAAAACATAATGATTTTCTCACCATTTGTTTTTATGTAAGAGTATTGTTCATTACCTGTTAGTCATTATTCAACTAAATATCTAGCATTACTTAAACATTATTTTTCTCACAAGACATTTTTAAATCTTTTTTAATGAATAAAAAAACTTAAATCAAGAAATAACTTATGTTTTAATACTATTCGAAGCAAATAAGACAAGACTAACATTTCCCATTTGTAAACAAAATAAAATCTTCATATGATCATTTGTAAAGAAATTAAAATGCAAACATCTGGGTTTTGAATTTAGTATAACTTCTGAAAAAAATGGGATTACTTTCAACAACAATCTTCAGTCATCTTCTTCTTCACATATTGCAGAAAACAAGCTTAAATTTATGTTCAAGCACAAAGGAACCGAGATGGAAGATTGTAGAAAAAGACGGAGGGATATATATTCTATCGTTCCCTAATCACAATTTTGTACCAATCAATTACTCCGGAAATGAAATTATACAACAAGATCAGAAATTAGGGTTCCAACCATTACGAATTGATTTCATTGAATCAAAAGAGATGACAGGAATTGAGAAGAACATAGAGATAATCATGACAAAAACCACTAAAAGTCGAGAAATTTCGCAAAGATGTACATTGATTCGACACCTAAACCCTAGCCGCCGAAGCCGTACAGGGTACGGCCCTGTCGCTTGAGAGCATAGACGACGTCCATGGCGGTGACAGTCTTCCGGCGAGCGTGCTCAGTGTAGGTGACGGCGTCGCGGATCACGTTCTCCAGGAAGATCTTGAGGACGCCGCGAGTCTCCTCGTAGATGAGACCGGAGATCCGCTTCACTCCTCCACGGCGAGCCAGACGGCGGATGGCCGGCTTCGTGATGCCCTGGATGTTGTCCCTCAGAACCTTCCGGTGCCGCTTTGCTCCGCCCTTTCCCAGCCCCTTCCCGCCCTTTCCACGGCCAGACATCTTTTCCGGCGACTGAGATTGAGTATCTGGTCTTCTTCGCGATGGAGATTTGGAGCTTTGAGAGAGATTTTGAGAATGATGAGTGGATTGTTCGTGTCTCGGGAGATTTATATAATCTGAGGGGAATGGATATTGACCGTTGGATGGATGTCTGTTAATCGACGAACGGAAATAGAGATCCGCGAGATGTAAATCTGTCCGTTTGGAGCCGTTGATCAAAAGATGATCGACGGTCGAAAGAGTGTGGATTCATGTCGACGCGGATCATGGTTTTGTAATGAAGTGCGAAGTGGGTCGGTCCCCCACGTGGCGATTTTGAATTTGGGTGCTAATTCAGCACCAAATTTGGATTTTTCGTTTTCAAATGAAAAATTTTGTCCCTCCGCCAATTGTGGAGTTATGAGTCAAAATTTCATTTTTGTTGTACCCTTCTTCCTAAAATAATGATTGTATGTTCTACTTGGAGTGCATATTATTTTTAAAAACTTTTTCATGTAAATTCTTTTTTTCTTTTAATTATTTATTTTTTAAAAATTGTTCATCCAAGTAGTAAGGAATTGGTTATTTCAGTCATGTTTATGTCTATGGTGAACCATCTTTACATAAATCATTTTGGTATCATTAATTTAAAATTTTAACAACAATTTTAACAGTACTTCAAACATGTCAAATACAAAATTCAACTAAACAATCGTTTATGAACGTAGAAACGATCTATATGAACATTCTAATTAATAAATATATATAGTGGCTTATATAACCTCTCGTCCTTCCGAAAATAGACATATCAGAACTAATTAATTAATAATTAATAAATGAGAAAGATCCAAAAACAAGTGATTTATAAAGGTCGTCACTATATAATAAAAATTATATCATTGTGTAGAATTTGAATGTCTCACCGCAATGGTTTAATCAGATTTTAATTCGGATAAATTTGGGCAAAAATGTGTAACCCGACTAAGACCAAATTAGTCTCATTTAGGGACTTGCGTTTGAAATCGTAAAAATCGCAACCCCTCCACTGAGAAGCCAAAGGAACAGAGTTGCACAAGTCAACTATGTCTTCTTCTTACTCTTCTTCCTATATGAACCAACTTCTCCTGCCTCAATTCTTCACCATTTTCCTTCAGATTTATTCTGAGAACTAGCCTTGAGTGTGGAAAACGTAGTGGTACTGTCAATTTCGTGTGAACTCGCCGGAAGTTTCGCTGGAAAATTCTCAAAACATTCATTAAGTTTCGAAATAAGCACGTAGATATATCCTATGACTAGAATGTTCGTATAGATCGTTTTTACGTTCATAAATGGTCGTTTGGTTGAGTTTTGTGTTTGACATGTTTGAAAATCAAAAATCATAAACTATGAAATTGTTGTTAAAACTATGAATTAATGATACTAAAATGATCTAAGAACCTTGGAAAACATTTCTATACAGTTTAACTAAAGTTTGGTGACCAAAAATGGAGCTCGAGAAAAACTAGTCGAACGAAGAAGAAGGTGAACAATGATTGTTTATGTGTGTGAGTGCTTGGAATTAAATTCTTGAAGGAAAACAAATCATGTCTTTGTGCGAATTTGTTGTGAAGACTGCGTGTTTTAGGGGAGTGTATTCAATCAAGATTCTGATAGATTTTTTGGATTCTAGAAATCTGCAGGTATTCAATTTAGATTTTAAAAAGTCATTCAAAATACAAGTGTATTCAATTCAGATTTTAAATAGTTCTTCTAAATATGATGGTATTCAAAATTTGGTAGATTTTTTAAGATTTTTAATAATGTAGAATTTGATGGATTTTCATGCATTAAGTATAAATACAAATCCAATTCCAAATCCAGTCAAAACCCTAGGATTTTGCTACTCTCTTCCGCACAACGCCTTTCTTCTGCAATAGGGTTCTGTTCATCTTTTCTGGCTTCATCCAACGCACCATAGACCAGACCTTCCAATCACTTCCTCACCCTCCCTCCCTCTGTTTATCTGTGTTCTCATCTTCACCTTCTAGTCTCCGACCTCGTTTCCACTGTGTTTTTGGTGTCAATTTGGTGTTTCGCATTGTTCATTCCTTATGGAAAGTTTTTGGTTCTCAGATCCAGGTCTTTCTTCTATTCCATTTTAATTCCTTTGATTTTTCTGTGCTAATTTTCTGTGGAGGAGACTCCTCTCCATCATCTGCGGCGGGATGGGGGTCGGCTCAACGCTGATGTTCGGAGCGGGAGGCGGCTTGGGGGCCGGCTCAACGCTAATGTTCGGAGCGGGAGGGGGCTTGGGGGCCGGTTCAGCGACGGCGACGTTCGGAGCAAGAGGCGGCTTGGGGGCCCGCTCGGCGACAGCGACGTTCAGAGCGGGAGGCAGCTTGGGAGCCGGCTTGGCGACGGCAACGTTCCATCCAAATTCCAAAGTCTTCCGTTTCCTTTTTTATTTTTTTTTCTTTTTTAACCAATTTGGGATGAGAACAATCCATTAGAATCTTGATAAATCTTTACAATAAAATAAATTTAAATGCATTGAAGTCTACATAGATTTATGATAATCCATAAATCTTACATAATCCATGGATTATAAAAAATCTAGTATAATCTTTTAAAATCTAAGTTGAATACACCCCCTTAGTTTACAGACGTGATTCTAAATCATGGTTATGAATTATGATTTGAGACTTGCTATTGTCATTAGATGTTCTTTTCTTCAAATACTTAGGTTGTCACCTAATATAGTGATTGTTTTGGTGAGAGGACTTGCTGTCCAGATTCCCAGTTGGGGTTTTATTTTATTACTACACTATGGAAGGTCGTCTCTTGAAATTGAATTGAGCTAGTAATGAAACTTTTGGGTTAAGATTATGTGTCAAATTCTTTGAACTAGGGTTGGTATATTTGTCTAGTGAGCATTTTGGTATTAGTTATACTTGAAACCAGCATTTTGTAAGGAAATATTGAAGCTTTTTGCTTAAATTTACTTATTTACATCTCTCTATGGGTTTAACCTCATACCATAAGTTTAATAATCTTAAAAGACATCAAGTTTTTTGCTTCTGTCAATTTAAATCAGAGGTGTTTGATAAGTACATTTTGTATTTATTATTTTACTCATATTTAAATGTTTTTGTGTGTAAATAAATTTATTTTAATATAAAAATAACGATTTTCTTTTGTAAATATCTCAGAATTGTCATTTTGTTTATAAAAAATGTGTTCAAAACAAAATTGGAATTTTCAATCAAAAAGTAGTTAAAACGGAGTAAAACTTTGAAGAAAATAAATTTTTCGGAATAATTGTGCTCAAATTCGTCCATAGCTTCAGAAGGGAAAAATGTTCAGCACAAAATGAGGAACTTGTCGCAAAAAATTTGGAATCAAAAGTCAAAGTTGTGCTGGGCCGACATGCCGGGCGCCCGCTTCGGATCCAGCCTCGGATTTCAAATGTGAAATTAGACGGTTGGCGAGGCATATTCCCAAGGAATATTCGTATATTTCCTTGGGCGACCGCCCCACTGCCCGCCCAAGAAAACCACGTCAGCATACGCGTAAGATTGGCGGTTTTTTTGAGAAGCCGCGTGCAAGAAACCACGGGCCGCACTCGGGCGACCTACTAGGCGGCTGCCCTAGATCCTGCCCCGGAACTTCTGAAGCCTATATAAGGCGGGTCGATCGAGCCCCACCACCATCATCTCAATTCTCCTTCTCTCTTCTCTCTAAAGTGGCGAAACCCACACAAAAAATACTTTCTTGTTAATTTTGGAGTTCTAGTTCCAGATCTGTTCATATTCCCCTTCTTTGGAAGCTGTAAGTTTTTTTGTAATATTTAAATAAAATGTTCTGTTATTTAAATTGTATATTTTTTATTGTTATTATGTCTTTTTAAATATATTAGGGATGTGAATTGAAATTAAGGTTGTAGACATGTAGAAAAAATAATTAAGTTGAAATATTAAATATGATTAATTAAAATGCTAGGTTGTTATAAATTGTTTTATTGTTCTAGTTAATTAATATGGACAATTAATTAAATAATCTTGGAAAAATTATTATGTCCATTTGTCTATGAATGAGAAAAATAATTACGTCAACCAATTCTAGCACATTGACTATGCCTGGAAATATGATAAATTAATGGAATACTTGTGACAGAACTAATCACTAGCCTAATTAATTAATTAAATTATCAAACTAGTTAATTTATCTGAGAAATTTCTACAACCTGAAATCAATTCATATTCCATTTTGTCAAACAAATCACTACTTTGCCCTATTAAACTGAATTCAATTAAAAAATTTCGAATTTAGAAGGCTTCCAACGCCACTGAGTATAATTTCCCTAGCTAGATTTTAATTAAAAAAAATTATTTTTACACCAATCCACGTGAATACGACACGGGAATAGATGAAGCTCTTTTAGAGTAAAATTTACTATCGCTAAAACTCTTTCGTTAGTGTTTGAGAACTGTTTTTCAAATGGTTTTACTTAAATTATGCCAAATTAGGATTGCGACTTATTCCAATTTAAAATGATACTACAATATTATTTTAAAATTCAAAGTGTTTTAAATAACCAAACTTTTTTAGAAACCAAGTGCCACTTGATTAGCACTTAGTTGTCTCGTTAAGTGGTTTTTGCTAATCAAGGTTCTTGAACTGATTGTGTTAAATATTTTTAACATGAACTAATATGAATCAAAAAATAGGAAAGAATCATCGGTGAACCTCTTCTTCAGCCTAACCCCTGTTTTAATTTAAATTGGTTGATGATTATGCAAGTTTTTATCAATTATTTGATCTTGGATATTTATTTTTCCTATATTTTAAAAACTTTGTTGATTTTCTAAAATCGTTTAAGTTAATCTATTATTGTTTAAGTCTCTAAAATTTTATGTTATGTCACTTATGTGTGCTTGTCTTACTTGTTTAGGCTTTTGGTGGAATTATGTTCTATTTATCCCTGGGTTGTTGCTTTGAAATATGTTCTGACGTGGTGTATAATTTTTAGTTAGTTTTTTTTTATCTTTAAAAACTTATTTCAAAATCTTCATATCATTTAGTTTCAGTTATTATTTTTAGTGAGTTGTTTTTATTCAATAAAAGTAACTAAATAAATTGATTTTCATAACTTAAAAGTATCTTTTCTCGTGATATCGACTATTACTTATCCTATCTAGAAATTTAATAAATATTATTTTTTAAAGAAGGATTTTAAGTTAAGGAAAATAAAAAGTAGTTTTTTAGGTGTTACCGCACGTCAAACACTCCTTCAATTCTCAAATAGATTTTATGGAAGTCAAAATGAAGTGAAATTATAATTTTTTAAATTTATTTTATTTTAAATTTGCTTTAGAAATATAAAATAAAACGTACACATTTAAAATCTTTATCAAAAGTTCTATTAAAAAACATAACAATAATATTTTATTTTATTAAATACTCCGTAATAATTTGAATATATATAAATGAAAAACATCATTATCCGAGTATATTTTTAAAATTATGTAGTGTGTAATTTATTATGGGACAAAAAAGAATAAAAATGAAGAATTCTTTTGGGTAGAAAAAGGAGGGTTTACTTACTCGCACTGGCCGCATTGTTTGTGGAGCAGAAGCTATATCCGATCGCCGTTGACCTGAAATTTCCGGCGAATTTTAAGTTCCAGTGTAAGCTTCTGATGAGATCTTAACTTTTCTCGGAAGAATTGACATTGCGTTTTCGTATCGATTTAATCTTCATTTTCCGGCGAGCATACCATCTTATCAGTTCATTTGTGTTGATTCAACTTCTAATTTTTTGGATCTGATGTAAATGAATATGAATTCCGTTTTTAGCATCTTCGACCCCCCCCCCCCCTTAAGATCGATTCTGATCCTGTAGAAAGCTGTCAATTTTTTTTGCTTGAGTATCCATAATCATTATCCATCCACTGGAACTGATCAGCTCAAACACATTTCTCCAAATATTTGTTGAAAAATATCATGTTTATCCCTTCATTGTCACTGATGTTATTTTTTTGCTGAGAATTAGATCTGAACTGTTGTTCCAGCTAAGGATTGTATAGATGGAATCCGTATGTGTGCTCGGCGGCTTGAGGAATTGAGGAGTATATAGAATTATGAAACTATAATGCATTCATCCAAGAATATTCATCAAGTTTTTGTTTTTTTAGTCGAATTAGACGCATTTTGATCATCAATTAAATAAAATTTGCATTGCATATTAATACAAAAAGATTTCATTATATTTTTCTCGTAAAGAAGCTTCAAAAAAGTATCTCATTGTATTAAAATGCAATGCAATGCAATGTATATTTAATTTATGATCAAAGTTCGTATAGTTTGACTAGAAAAAATCAATTTGGATGAATACTCTAAGACAAACGGAGTAATTGTGATAAATGGGTATTTAAGTTGATTTTTTTACCTTTCAATCTGAATCATATAGTTCAGTAGAATAACATTAGTATTTTGATGGAATTTATAGTTAGTTGTTGCAGGGATTTGTTTTTTCAGTATTAGAAGAGAAGTTCTCAAGTATTAATCAATGGTAGAAGAACTAGTCATTCTGGGATTTTTTTTTGAAATCCCATGAACGAGTGTTGTCTATCTAGGGGTTGTGGTATTGATTATGGGAAAATGCCATCAACATGAACACTTTGATAGCTATGATTAGAGTAATTTGATAGACCTTTGGGCCTTATACTGGATAGCTATGACACTTTTCTGTGTTTTATATACTTGAGGTGTTTGATCTACTTAAGGTCTAGTTGCTCGTTTCACTATGTGTGCTTCTCATGTTTGTGCTTTTACTTGTTCCGTGTTACTCTATTTACTGTGCCTCCGTGTGTTTCTATGTTTGAGCCGGTTGTCTCTTTGAAACAGCCTATCTACTTCCAAGTAGGGCTAAGGTCTGCACACATGCACACACACACTCTCTCCAAGCTCTACTATTAACTCATTAAAAGATTTTAATGGCTTGTTGTTGATATTAGTATGAAAAATGCTTACAAAACGATTGGTCGTAAGAAAATAATTTCTGTATCATCATAATTTCTTTTTTCAAAATAAGAAAATGATTTCCCCCCCTCCTTCATTTTTGTGCACTATTTGCTGCAGATGATTAATGATCAAGACCTGGGATTCTTTGCCAACTTCCTTGGCATCTTTGTGTTTGCGCTGGTGATTGCATATCATTACGTGATGGCTGACCCAAAGTATGAAGGCAACTGAAAGCTACTTTAGGTATCCCAATGCATCATGCAATATGAAATAGAATGAATATCATTTGCATTGGCTTTTTTTGTTTACTGAATCGATCTTATGGAGACATTTTGTTGTGGAAAACCTTTAAATATTTAGCACATGTGTTTGACTGATTCAAGTCCTTATTATACATTTCGGGTACGCCATAATCATAGCATCTGTTTCTTTCATGTTTGTTACTATGTTATACAAAGTATATAATTAATACTCCTTGTTCTCTGGAGTTCATCTGTTCATCAAGAACAATTCTATGATTTAAAGAATGAATGCCATAGCATCACTTTCAACCATACATTTTCACTTTTTTTAAACTTTTAGTCAATTCAAACAAAGAACTTTTTTTGGATGGCTTCATGCACGCGGTTTGCTAGAAATATAAGAATTGAACTTATGAATACAACAACAATAATTCGGTTGAATCTCTCAAGATTAGGGTCCGGAGAAGATATGTGTATACAAACTTTACCCCTACTCGAAACTAGAAACGTTTCCAAAGACACCTTTGGCTCAAACACCACATGTATTCATGTACGCAATTTGATCCATATTTTAAAAACATAAAGCAGAAGTTTGAAGATGACCTATGATGGGCGTTGAAAATTTGTAATACCGTTAATCGAGCGTACACTCTGCACCTTCAAACTCGTTAACAATGTCTATTAAAATTCTTGTCCATTCTAAATAAATCTTAATTACATAAAATAGCTGATAATACAAAAAATACCAACAATTTCTTTGTTTCCTTTCCACGGCTAGTCCTCCACCACACACATACAAATTTGAGTTTGTCCTTATTTTGTCTAGCCATGCTACAACCCTTTCAAGTTGGCACCACTAATGTTTCACAAACAATAAGTTTCTGCGATAATACTTATTCGTGAGAAAAATAGTTTTTGATACCAATGTTGGTATCAAATTTGGTGGGTGTTTTGTCAACTCTGAATATAACGTTTAAGAAATTTGGGAAGTATATTATATAGTGAGTATCAAATGGATCAACCTTTCATATATCTCTCTATTCCCTTGACAAAATACTCTATAGCTCTTAATCTCCGACCACACCAATCTTCAATTCTATCTTGGGTCGTGCGACTTAATTTGGTTTGGATACAACTTAATTATACCCATCACTAGTGATATACAGCCATTTCTGAAATTATATACCAGAGTAACAATATTTAAATTGTTTTTTGAAACGAAAGTGCAATTTTATTAACTCCAACCGTACTTATACAAAACCCCCAATTCTACAAGAGCTTCTACACCAAATTCAGTTCAAATACATGCTTTTCAGCTTTCAATTAATATATGATTTAATTTGAAACTGGACCCATTCAACACTTTCTTCACTTGCCACATATTTATCTTGCTTAATCTTTAGGTTCCTAGCTCTCCAAATAACATAACAACTAGCAGCAAAAGCATCAACTATGACCTGCCTTCTCTTCCCTCCACTAATACACAATAGCTCTCTTTGTGATTCTTCAGTATTTTTTGCCCTCCACTGAAATTTGAGCCAAGAAAAAATACTTCTTTGTATGCCCTTAGCAAATTCACATTCGAAGAACAGGTGGTGTTGGTCTTCATTAGCTGTTCCACAAAGCACACATTCAGGATATACCTCCACAAACTTTCTAATTCTTACTTTTGTTGGTACTCGATTTTTACACCACAACCACATTAGGAATTGGTGCTTGGGCATTGAGAATTTGTTCGAGACAATATGTTGATACTACACCTTTGTGTATTCCCCTAGTAACCAATTATAACCTCTATCAATATCATACTTTTCTGCACAGTTCATACCAGTGAACTTCGTCCTGTTATTAAGAATTTTCCTAAAGTAATAGCAAGCATCTACTTTAGGTTGGACGCTCCAGATGGTATCTTTCTTGAGATATTTGTTGTGGATCCACCTTACCCACAATATCCCACATCAATTTCTGGTTGCAGGCATGGTTCCAATAAATCAAATTTTTAAACCCCAAACCACTTGCCTTTTTTGGTTTACAGGTCCACTAATAATACAAAGTTTATTACGCTGGTATATGATTTTGTTAATGATTGTACTTGTATATCACCCTTGTTGAGTATTATGTTAAAGTTAGTTTTTATCATTTTCTACGTATGTGTAAAAACTTTCTATTTTAATACTTTTTCTATCCACCATAGATCTTTCCAGACACTATTCATACGGTCAAACTTAATTCACTTTGTTTGTTTATTTTTTTACTACTCATTTCATAAAATAATATAGTGTTGTCGTTTCTAGCTTTGTAGAACTTTTCATGTAGTTTATTGCTAAATAGATTTTATATTAAAATTTTACCCCTATATTCAAATAAATTGAATTGAAAATAAAATCAATCAAACATCGTAACGTGCAATGAGAAGATCTTAGGTAGACGGAGGGCGTATATATTATTAATAAATCATTCAAAATGTTATATCAATTGAAAATTCTATCTCCAAATGAAGTCAAGTTATAGTAATACAATTTTTATTCTACTTTATTAAAGAACAAAAATAAGTTTGTTTTGGAACAAATTTGATCCCACAAACGCGTAGCCAATCCAGATGGGCCGGTCCGGTCCTTAAAGTAGGGGCCTCTTTCGCCCGAAGTAACAGGATTCATCTTCAACCGTCGACTCAGTCTCCATCAAGATCAACGGTTCAGATTTCGCGTGTTAGGGTTTCGAACATTCTGGAACTTCCCCTCCCAGATCTCCGCTCTCCGCTCTCCAGTATAAATCCTCGCTTTCGGCACGACTACTTCCCCATTGTAAACCCTAATTGCTTCAGACTTCAAACCCGTCAAATCTACCACACAGACGATAAACTTTGCCGAAAAAGATGGCCGGAAAGGGCGAAGGTCCGGCGATTGGTATTGATCTCGGAACAACATACTCCTGCGTCGGAGTCTGGCAACATGACCGCGTGGAGATCATCGCGAACGACCAGGGGAACAGGACGACGCCGTCCTATGTCGCTTTCACTGACAGCGAGCGTCTCATCGGCGATGCCGCGAAGAATCAGGTCGCCATGAATCCTACTAACACTGTCTTCGGTAAGATTTCACCTCTGTCGTTTTACCTCAAGATTTTAACGTATGCGCTTGTTATTATCAGAATGCTTTTGTTTTCTTCGTATTTTCGTCATTCAGCTTATCTGCATCCATACCTGATATGCTCGAGATTCAATTCTTACTTTGTTTTCTAGATCTTAAGCATCCTTTAGTCGTGGTTCAACCATTGATAGTGTTTTTGTAATGTGTTCAGATCTCGGTTGTCCTGTGTAGAGGATATGGTTTGTTTTATCTAAATTTTTGGTTTTTCTATTGTTACAATTAAGAACTTTGGTTCAGTGAGGAAACTTCGTCATCTACCCACTTTATTTAGCGGAGACTCCATATTGAGCTGTCTAGTCCCAGTACTTCATTACACTCGTAGATCTTTTTTTACCTGTCATCAATCCACATTTTGTAATAGTTATCTTTCTTGACTCTGATCACATGTAGTTAGGTGTGAATTTTATATAAAATGTTACTTGTATACCTCTTGGAGGCTACGAGATTTGTAGTTAAGTTGATAATTCTTTGCAATTGTTATAAAAGATTTGCAATCTTCCCTTTGAAGAAAGCATCTTATTCCTGTTTTCATTTTTGTATCATATTGTTTAATGTTAGCTATCATGGAGTATTTTGTGTCGGCCTATCTGAATATCATGTGGTCCCTTGGTAGAATTTGGTTGACTTAGTTTTATAATATTGCAGATGCAAAGAGATTGATTGGGAGACGGTTCACTGATACAACTGTGCAGAATGACATCAAGTTGTGGCCTTTTAAGGTCATCTCTGGTCCTGGTGATAAGCCCATGATTGTTGTCAACTACAAGGGCGAAGAGAAGCAGTTTGCTGCTGAAGAAATCTCGTCTATGGTGCTCATCAAGATGAGGGAGATTGCTGAGGCTTACCTTGGCAACACAGTAAAGAATGCTGTTGTAACAGTTCCTGCTTACTTCAATGACTCTCAGCGTCAGGCAACAAAGGATGCTGGAGTCATTGCTGGTCTCAATGTCATGAGGATCATCAATGAACCCACGGCTGCTGCCATCGCTTACGGGTTGGACAAGAAGGCAACTAGTGTTGGGGAGAAGAATGTGTTGATCTTTGATCTCGGTGGTGGTACCTTTGATGTCTCTCTCCTCACCATTGAGGAAGGTATTTTTGAGGTGAAGGCCACTGCTGGTGACACCCATCTTGGTGGTGAGGACTTTGACAACAGAATGGTCAACCACTTTGTCCAGGAATTCAAGAGAAAGAACAAGAAGGATATCACTGGAAACCCCAGAGCACTCAGGAGGTTGAGAACATCTTGTGAAAGGGCAAAGAGAACTCTTTCCTCCACTGCCCAGACCACAATCGAAATTGACTCTCTCTTTGAGGGTATTGATTTCTACTCTACCATCACCCGTGCCAGATTCGAGGAGCTGAACATGGACCTCTTCAGGAAGTGTATGGAACCCGTCGAGAAGTGTTTGAGAGATGCCAAGATGGACAAGAGCTCAGTCCATGATGTTGTCCTTGTCGGTGGATCCACTAGAATTCCCAAGGTTCAGCAATTGTTGCAAGACTTCTTCAATGGAAAGGAGCTCTGCAAGAGCATCAACCCTGATGAGGCTGTTGCCTATGGCGCTGCTGTCCAAGCTGCCATCTTGAGCGGAGAGGGTAATGAGAAGGTCCAAGACTTGCTTCTTTTGGATGTCACCCCACTCTCCCTTGGTTTGGAAACTGCCGGAGGTGTCATGACAGTCTTGATCCCAAGAAACACCACAATCCCAACAAAGAAGGAACAGGTATTCTCAACCTACTCTGACAACCAGCCCGGTGTTTTGATTCAGGTCTATGAAGGTGAGAGGACAAGGACAAGGGACAACAACCTGCTCGGAAAGTTTGAGCTCTCCGGCATCCCTCCTGCCCCTAGGGGTGTCCCACAGATCACTGTCTGCTTTGACATTGATGCCAATGGCATCTTGAATGTCTCTGCGGAGGACAAGACTACAGGCCAGAAGAACAAGATCACCATCACGAACGACAAGGGAAGGCTTTCCAAGGACGAGATTGAGAAGATGGTACAGGAGGCCGAGAAGTACAAGTCGGAGGATGAGGAGCACAAGAAGAAGGTTGAGGCGAAGAATGCCCTTGAGAACTACTCTTACAACATGAGGAACACCATCAAGGATGACAAGATTGGGTCCAAGCTCTCCCCAGCCGACAAGAAGAAGATTGAGGATGCCATTGACGAGGCCATCCAGTGGCTCGAGGGGAACCAGCTCGCGGAGGCGGATGAGTTTGAGGACAAGATGAAGGAGCTGGAAGGCATCTGCAACCCCATCATTGCCAAGATGTACCAAGGTGCTGGCGGCGGTATGGGTGAGGGCATGGATGAAGACGGCCCGATTCCTTCTGGTGGCGGTGCTGGACCCAAGATTGAGGAGGTCGACTAAGTCTGTTGGTGATGGCATGGTCTACTGTGTTTTTACATGCTCTTTCAATTCCTCTAGAACATCTGTGTTTTTACTAGTAACTATGTTGTGTTTTTGAAGTTTTGTTATTTCTTGCGATGGATTTTTTTTGGAGGATTTCTTCTTTATTTAATTAAAAATCTGGATAATACAGACAGATTTTGCGGGGTATTTATCAGTATTTTTGGATATTTTTTTCGGTGGTCTAAATGAATGCATTATGCAATTGTAGGTTGCACATTTGTTTGCAAACATTTTTTTTCTAAACAAGTGATTATGTTCATAGAGTTGTATAATTTATATTTAAATTTAACTTTTTAACTTTTTCGGTTATTAACTTTTGGAGGCAATGTATTGTAAATGCGCACAATATTAATTTCTGGCTCAAAATATTTGTTACATTAAGTTTTTTTAATTTATTTTATTTATATATTTTATTTAATATAAAAAATTATATGAAAAATTTTTCGAAATAAAAGTTTTCAAATTTATCAAATAATCAATGAAAATATAAAACTAAATAAAAGTTTTTGTGACTACTGAAAAAGTAAATATGACATATTTTGGGACAGGTGTATCAAGATTTCAAATTAGAGGTTTCTAAGAGAAATGTATGATTACTTTTGATGTACCCAATAATGACATTTTATATTAAATTCTACTCCGTAATTCATAAACAAAATCTGTCTACTAACATGCACGATGCACACAAACAAGTTTTTTTACGTACGTCTATGAGATTACTCTAGATTAGTCTTTGTTATACTTTGATATCCTCAGCCTTTACACTAATGACAAAAAGCACCGTACAAATTTAGACACATTTTATCTATAAATTATTTTAAGATAAAACTTAACCTATAATTTTTTTTGTAAAAATGGCAGCATTTAAGGAATTGGATCTATGATTTCAATTAAAAAGCTTAATGATTAGTATCTCAAACTATTCGAATAGTTTAAGTACAAAAATTAAACCAAGTATATAACACAATATATTTTAAAATAAAAAAAATAGATATTATAATATCTATTTCTAAGATCATACATAGTATAAATATAATCATTTGTGAAACTCCATATTCAACCAATGACAATTTTACAATACATGATTTTTGCTCACAATTTCGATCAAAATTTGAAAATAAAAATAAAAAATCTAGTTTTGTTTTTCTAGGAAAAAAGTAACAATATTAAAGTTGATTGAACAAAAAAAACTAAAATAAATGTTGAGAAGATTTCTTGAACACAGAAAAATGTCTGCGACTTCCTCCCTGCTTACACTGAGAGCACAACCTGAAAATGTTGAGAAGGTTTCTTTTACGCGCTTCGCCCCAACTCCGTTCCTCGCTCTCCATTTCTTCGTCGCCTTCACTTCACCGTTCTTCTTCTCCGTCTCGATCTTTCTCATCATCTTCGGAATCCACAGGCAGTAATTTCGTCGAACAGTTGGAGGATGCAATTGCCGATACTCCTCCGCCGTCGGCTAAAATCGCCGTCGACCGCTCCGGATTATGCAATCCTCCTGGTAATTAGGCTATCCGCTCACTTTCGATTCCAGCTTTGTTGTTTTTAATCGTACAAGTTCAGTCGCCGTTGTGAACTGCAGAGCATTCTCATGAGCCGGCGTCGGATTCTGAGCTGGTCAAGCATCTCAAAAGCATTATCAAGGTTTTAACATTATTTTCAATTTCCATTTCCGCGTATTGCTGCATCTATTTGGTAGTACTGATTTGCCCGTGAAAAATGTTGAATTCTTGAAATGATATCTGAGGGTGAAATGCATTTCCATTATGAATCAAATGACATTGAAACCCAAAACTCTGTCTTGTTTCCGATGTTAATACTTGTATCTGAGCATGTTGGGGTGGTGAAATTTTCAGTTCAGAGGAGGTCCGATCACAGTTGCAGAATACATGGAAGAGGTGTTGACAAACCCAATGGCAGGGTTCTATATAAATCGCGACGTGTTTGGTGCAGAAGGTGATTTTATAACCTCCCCTGAAGTAAGCCAGATGTTTGGGGAGGTAATTTTTCTTCTCTTTTGTTGTATACTCCGTATTACGTACTCATTGCTACACTGCTTGTTGTGTGGGGAAGCATTCTTGTAAAAATTCTCCGATTAATCCCCTGCCCTATTTCACTTAAGATCATGCACAATCCCAACCAGTAGGTGTGCCAGGCTTCATTTCTCATCCTGGCGGCTGCCTTTAACTTTTACAACGTTGGGGAGAAACATACACCTTCTCCGATGCTGAATTCTTCTGATTACTTCATATTTTTTTTCTAGATGATTGGTGTTTGGGCAATGTGTCTCTGGGAGCAAATGGGAAAACCAAGTAAAGTAAACTTGGTTGAGCTTGGACCGGGCAGAGGAACTCTCATGGCTGATCTTCTGCGGGTATAATGGACAAATCATATGCACTCTAAGATAATACCTTTGGCATATTGGATCTTTTATTGCTGCATAGTGTAATCCCTCTACTTTGAGACAAAAACACAGACCAATATTGATGATTAAACTACTCCAAACTGTGTCAATCTACCAAATTTACCTTCCATAATCATTCATCATTTACGAAGCACCATTCTATATATCTTTTCATCTTTAATAAGGGAAAATATGAAAAAAAACATTAAGTGGTTCATTGTAGTTGTGGAATGACTTATAATGAACACCTTTAATTCCTTCTAAACTATGACTTATATCAAGGACCTGAGAGAATATTCGGTAAGAGTTATGAAAACCATACTTTGCAGGGTACATCAAAGTTTAAGAACTTCACAGAATCACTGCATGTACACCTGGTTGAATGTAGTCCAGCTCTGCAGAAGCTTCAATATTGTGCCTTGAAGTGTCAAAATAAGAATGATACTGCTGGAAATGTTGAGGAGCATATCACTAGCACACTAAAAGGAGCTCAAGTATCATGGCATGCTACATTGGAGCAGGTTCCAACAGGATGTAAGAAATTGCCAATTACTTCATTAAATTTAAAAACTCTCCATTACATCGATGAGGGCTGGTTCATTTATCATTGAGTCCATGCGCGAATATGACACGATTGGACCTTTAGTAAACAATGAACAAATTATGCTTCAATACAACTTTAATATGGAATCTGATCTTTATTAAATTCAATATAGTAAAGGTAATGCATCTTTAATATTTAAAAAAATACACTCTTGTGCATGTTTTGGGGTAATATGCATCTTGTGCATGTTAATAGTAAACAATGCATCTTTAATATGAAAACAACATCCCTACTTTCAAGTAGGGGTAAACTCTGTGTACACCCCCCAAACCCTACTCTCGTGGGATTCAATGAAATCATATAGCTCTTTGTGCACTTTTTGGTGAAATTTGATTGTCAAGCTCACACCACTGGACATATGTATTTATTGCAATAAATCTGGAGATTTGTCTTTGGGATATGGGAGATGTTCTGAAGAGAAGAGGAAGGAACCAGGATGGGGAAGGAATTGGAAACACCATAAATTTTTGTTATGTGTTTAAGTAATTACACACACATCATAATAATCTTCTTATGAATTATCAAATCAATAAAATGCTTTCTCTTGGTTTACGTTTATATGTATATGTATCTTTTTACAATGGATGGCTTCTCTTGTGTATTCCTGAACATATATTTGCATGTCTCTTTGTACATTGATATATTTGTCTCTTTGTGTATTCGAAGCGTCATACTGTAGAATTTTCTTTTCATTGTTCACGGTTATGATAGGTTTTCAAATTTTCTTTTTCTTTTATTCTTTTCAGCACCCACTATCATCATCACGCATGAATTTTATGATGCCTTACCAGTGCATCAATTTCAGGTTTGTATTATCATCTTTGACTCTAAAGGTTGGTCAGTATAATCATCTGGCAAAAAGCATGTGCAGCATGTTCCAATTGCTTGACAATGATAACTCTATTCTAAAACTGTCAAGTAAGTCGACTTTCAAATTTTCACTTTGAGTGGATGTTCACATTTTGCATGCCATGGTGCACCGAAATTGGACTCTATATTTCACCTTGTGTTTAGCTTATAAATTTCCTTAAACAGTACTCCATCCCGAGGAAAGAAGAGAGCCATGTTTCAAAACTACTTCCCCTGCCTCCACCCCAAGGGACTCCTATCTCATTAAAAGATGTTAATTCTATTTGAATTCAATCTTTTTCCTCAAATGAAGTGTTTTAGACATGTTATGTACTGTATTTTAAATTTAGTCAAGATTTTTTTTTAAAAAATAAGTTGGATTTATAATTTACAAAAGTTGCAACTCGTACCTTACCAAGATTTTAAAGTTGCATCTAGATGAAATTACGAAACAAGACTTCTTTTTTTGGCATAGAGGGAGTAGTTATAGTAGTCTCTCTCAGTTTATGTTATATTTCATTTCACGGTTTGATGTCCATGGCATTATGGCTTCATTCTTGAATGTGGTCATCAGAGCCTAGACTTGGTTATGTGATGCATTAGGATTTAATTGTTTATATGAAATTACTTGATTTTAAGAAATGACTGGCCTGATTTTCTGTGTTTAGAGAGTATCTCATGGCTGGCGTGAGAAAATGATAGACGTTGCTGAGGATTCCAGGTAAATTGTAATGTTTCAGTTAGACTTCTACCACCATTTATAAAGTTTTGAGTCCCTTTATGACCCTTCCTTAATTTGCCATTCTATTTGATAGGTTTCGTTTTGTACTATCTCCACAGCCTACCCCTTCAATTCTGTATCTCATGAAACGCTTGAAATGGGCTAACAATGAAGAAATTGCAAAGCTTAAACAGGTCGAGGTATGCCCGAAATCAATGGATCTGACTCAGACAATTGCTGATAGAATAGGTTCAGATGGTGGTGGAGCCCTTATAATTGATTATGGCATGAACAGTACAGTCTCAGACAGTCTTCAGGTATGTCAGCTGCACCCACCAACTAGTATTGAGTTTTAGAACACTTAAGAAAATTAGAGTGCTAAAACTGTGTAGTCTAGGCTTTTCTTTGCAAAACAAGTTATAACTTATAAGCTAGCAGCTGATGGCTGATCAGTTTCCTAGGAGTTTATAGCTGATACTCCACTTGGCCTAAATTAATTGTTTGTTGACTTTGTTCAGGAATTCAATGTGTGACACACACACCCACCCAGGCACCCAACCACTCTGATCTTCCAAATTTGTACAGATTAACTCTTCCTTGATTAAATGCTTTTATATCTTAACAAAAAATAAAATGCAACAACAACCCCAGCAAAACCCCACAAAAAGTAGGCTGGTATGTGTGGGCAGACCTTAGCCCTACAGAAGGTAGAGAGGCTGTTTCCAAGAGACCCCAGCTCAAGCAATGCATTGCCATTTCATTAAAATTGGTTACAACACACATATATATACAATGGCAAAACCCCAATAACAACGACAACGCTTCATACATTGTCTACACTAAACTGAAACAAATCAAATCATCCAATGTCAATCGTTTTAGGACAATAACTTTAGGACAGAGGAAACCATAGCTGAAAAACTAGCTGATATAAATATTACAGTAGTGTTTGGCTATAGTTGATATAGAAATACAAAAATGACACAAAAAGATATGCTTAAAATATGAAATGTTGAAAAAAAGGAAACTATGAATGGTAAGCTCATGAAGCCTAAATACTCAGCTGCTCAAAAGAAATGTATGAAATGAATCCAGCTTAACAAGCAACTTTTCCAACCAAACAAACTGATTAAGTATTATGGCTTGTCTCAGATAGCCTTATGTGTCAACAAAGCAATGTACACTACACAATACGCTTACCTCTGATTTCTAGAAGCTCTTTGCCATTTAACAGCTTCTTTAGGAGATTATGTGCCATTTATATGCGCTACTAAGTGACGGTATTTTGAATTGGCATGCAGGCTATCCGGAAACACAAGTTTGTGGACATACTGGATAACCCCGGAACAGCTGATCTAAGTGCTTATGTTGATTTTCCTGCAATCAAACATTCTGCTGAAGAGGCTTCTGGTACATTCCCTTTTGCTCAATCTACATAACCTTCTTATTGAGCTAAAATGAATAAATGGCACCAATTAACTTTGTGTTTTGTTTCAAACAAATATATCCTTTCCCCACAATACACACATTTCAACTTGCCATGCTGACGTGGGTGTCACTTTAATTGATATGACATCAGCCTCATTTGGGAACAATCTTTTCAACTAGCATTTTAGATTGTTTTTTAATGTTGCATATTAACTTTGAAAATGCTAAATCTAAACGCTACTTTTAGATAACCTTTTCAAAACGCTAAAATAAAATGAAGTTGTTGCCAAATGGGCACATTGTCCGTTAGTTTCTCACAAGTAGGAGAGTAAAAAGAAGGATCAAAACACCATCTTGTTTCTCTGTGTTTTGAAATTAAGGTTGAGTTATAACTGCAGAAAATGTGTCGGTACACGGGCCGATCACTCAGTCTCAGCTCCTTGGATCTCTTGGAATAAACTTCCGAGTCGAAGCATTGATGGAGAAGTGTACAAATGAGCAGGCCGAATCCATAAGGACCGGATACTGGCGTCTGGTGGGAGACGGGGAAGCCCCATTTTGGGAAGGTCCTGAAGATCTGGTGCCCATTGGAATGGGAAATCGGTATTTAGCCACGGTGATAGTAAACAAGAAGCAAGGCGTTCCTATTCCATTTCAGTGAACACTTTTTCCTCTTAGGGTGTGTCTGGCTTGGAGAGGGGTTTTGTGTCACTTTGTGTGGTTTTGCTAGGGAAGGGAATTTAATTGTTTGTTTTTAAAGTTCAAGAGAGAATGTAATGTAATCAATGGATGATAATAGCTTAATGGCCATTGAACCCTTGTATGTTGATTTTTTTTCATCTCTAAGATCTACACTTATCACACACCATATCCCTAACTTGTAGAGTTGTGAACGAAGCGAATAATTTTAATTCGAGTTGTGATTGCTATTTGAATATGATTGATTTGAATATGAATATTTCAAATTACAAATTGAATTTGATATTCGAATGTTAAAAAAATGTGAATATCTTTACAAATTATTAGATATTCGATTCGTTTACAATTCTACCCAAATTCTACTCACCCGTGTAACCTTCCTAAGTTGTATACAGTACAAGTTAATCATTTTTTTCACCAAAATATTAATACATTTCCTTTTTTGTTAATCGAAAAATTGGTCCCGCCTTTCATTTTCATAAACCTTTTTGTAGCTAATATTTCTTTATCCTCGGCACTACTTTCAAATTTCAATTATACAAGTTTATTTTTCTTAATAAAAGGGCTGATTTTATTGTGAAACCTTTTAATGAAATGAAAGTAGTATATATCCATATTAATTGAAATATTCCAAGTATAAACACAATTGAATCAACATTTGGATATATCATCATTTTTGCCATGTTGAAGTACAAATCAAAATCAAACATCCCAAAGCAAATAATAGTGAGTGCACAAAAGCTTGTTTAAATTTTAAGCTTCCAAGACAAAAAACATCTCTTGTGCTCATCAAATTTTGAGCTTCTAACAAAAAAATATCCAACAAAAGGCATTAGTGCTTAATCATCACATTTTGATATTAAAAAAAAGGTAGATACAACTAATCCCTCAAATATTTAAAAAAAATCCCTCAAATATATTGCTATACTTGTAGCTTAAACTCATAATAACAAAAGGTGCAAAGATGCCCCTATATAGTACAAAATCACATAATTTACATTTGCCACAAACACTAACCATGTTACCTTTGTTTACCTTCGCTGGTTCGAATAGATCAAAATGGTAGAAATGAAGTGTCTAACAAACAACCCGCGGTGTCTAGGAGCCTCCTTGTCTCCTTCGCTTTATTCTCTCAAGTGCGCCAAGATGACTGTCTGATCCATCCCCGCCCTCATCTTTCTGGGGTTCGTCTCTCTTTCTGGCCAACCCACCAAACACAGCATCAGGCACTTCTTTGAGTGCAATCTCAACTTCCCCATCTCCCTCTTCTTCAGAATCACTTTCGTCAGGAAGTTCAATGTCCTCTTTGTTTGAGGTGTCGGCATTCTTTGGTGCACCATCAGAGCCAACAACGCCAGCACTTACGAACCCGACCACCCGACTCCCTCTATCTCTGGGTTGGGCAGCTTCGTTTGAGGTGGGGGCCGCTAGCAGCTGCTTTTCAATGGCAGCCATCTGGTCTTCATCCACTCCTGCCTGTTTCAGCACATCCTTCGCTTCCTCAAGTGTCTGCATCTGATCCTTCTGCATGAGGAGTTCAGGAAGAATGTGGTGTGTCTGCAAAAAAAGAAAAAGTGATTAGGAACATATCCTCATGGGAAAGTTAGTATGGCATCTATTATCTGCATAAGATTATGTCAAAAAAGAAAGAAGAAAGAATTTAGAAATCTGCTCTCCTGCCTGTTGCGGGTAGGCTTATCCTATTAAACAAGAGAGCTGATTTCATTTTTGAACCAGAAAAAATCAGCGGCAGTTCAGAATTAAGATGAGAAAACCATGTATGTTCCTTGAAAAATCAGTAAGAAACAAAGTTTACCTGACTATAGCTGGCAGAAATACTTCTCTTTACCCGAAGCATTTCGCGGAAGGTTTCCTCATTTCCATGTTGCACCTCAAAATCATTCCATTTATTCCAGAAGATGGGGTCCAACCTAGGATCAGCATAGTTAGATGCATACTTGTACAGCACACGAGCACGATCAATCTCACCCAGGCTCTTCTCAAGCTCAGCATACTTAAGGCACATAGTTTTGACATCCTTATCCGGAAGTCCTGAATTAATTGCTTGCTCATAGATCTCCCTTGTTTTGGGAACACCAAATATCTCAGCTGCCCGGGCTATGTAAATTTCGTACATGCTTAGCTTCTCATTAGCAGGAACAGCTTTGGTCGCTTGATTATAAACCATCATGGCCCTCTTGGCCAGACCATAGTCTTCCTCTAGTTTAGCGTATTGAAGAAACAACGGTTTTACTGCATCAGCAGGTGCCTATTGAAAGTTGTTAGTGTCATTGAATCAGCACCTTTACATTTTAGGAGCTACTATTCCACTCCCCTTGATTTGCACTCTCACCAAAATACCCTTTATAGCTCCCCACAATTTCAACATACTAAGGGTATTTGAGAGAAAGTATAAATAAATAGGAGTAGCAATAGTAAGACAAAAATAGCCAAGTAAAAATTATGTGCACCAACATTAAGCAAATGAAAAATGAAAACCCCATACTTAATACTCGGCTTCTTTATGAAAATAAATAAATAACATACCACTTCAACAGCATGCTCAAATAATTCCCGAGCTCGTTCTAGTTTTGACTTGCCATATCTTTTGACAAACTTGGAAAGATATGTAGTCCATATGTCCTTTACATGTGGGTACTTGAAGATCTTTACACCTCTCTCATAAACCTTAAATGCATCCTCAAAGAATTTATGATCCTGGAGAAGAAATTAAATAAATTAAATATAGAATGTTAATCCCGCACTAAAGGTATGTGTGAAGATTACATTAGGTTCATCGTCACCAGAAATGAGATATACACATACCTCAAGAAGCATTGCATAATTGATAATTATTTGAGGCGTAGCAATCTTAAGATCCAAAATCCTTTCATACACAGCCTTAGTTGACTCCAATGTACCCAAGCTCTCTTCCAAATCCACATAGAATGTCCAGAGCCTAAGGGACTTGTGAACTCTCATCTGTACCGGCTCATTTCCATCGGCAGCAACTGCGAATATAAATATCAAACATCACCTGATGGTTAGCCACCTTGAAGCCTTTCAGTTTTTTAGTTTGGTAATGCACGCGCACATACACCCACACCCGGTGCCACATAAAAACACATTTGAATTTGAACAATATAATCCACACTTCGCGGGGTCTGGGAAGTTTAATGTGCCTTTTTTTATTATGTTCATCATAGGCCTGGAACTAAAAAAATTCTAAATTGAACTCGATTTTTTTTCCTTGTCATGAATTCTCGTAATATGGAATAGATGTTTCTATATTCCATAAGCAGTTATAAATCATCTCCAATTAAAATTTTCCCAAACACTTCAAATAAATTTTAGGGTATTGCTAAATCCATTCCTCTTTTTTCTAAATCCACCCCAAATGACAAATGTCCAATTTTACCCCTAAGTTAGTTCACATGTTGCCTTTCCTTGTTTTTTACATCTTAAGGATAGATTTGTCCATTTTTTTAAATAAAAGGTGTGGATTTAGCAAAATGAGGAGTGGATTTAGCAACACCCTAACTTTCATAACAATGTTTGGAATGAATTTTTCATGGTAAATGCACAGTGCACATCATCTTTGTGAATATAAACCTACAATGCCCAATTCAAATGAAATCAACATTGACCAAGACAACTATAAGTTCCCCTTTTATTTGGTGTTAGCCAAAACACCATGCAAGCAAACCGTGCACAACAAAAGTTATGTTTGAATTGAACAAGACAATGAATTTCAAATCTACTGTGATTAATTTTTGGGTGGATTTAAATATATCATTCTAGGATTCAAAGATTTTAAAGGGAATCCTAAAGCCAATCAGGGAAAAAAAATCATTCATTGGAAATACTAGATTTACCTCTCCTTTTGACCTCAACGGATGGTTCTGCAGTAGCACGCCTCATTAACTCAAGTGCTTGTTTAAAGTTTTTGTGTCGTAGTTCCATCTCAGCCCATTCACACCAGACAGCAGCAAGGTGATCGACAGCCTTGTAATTGACCTGCACAGCCTTGTCAAATATCACCCTAGCATTTGCAACATCCTTGTGATTCTCATAGAGTTTTGCAAATCCAACCCACAGTGTGTGGGGTTTCCCAACAGCCTTCATCGGGTCTACTGTCCTCACTGCCTCTGTATAAGTCAGTATCTGCCTCGTGGGGTTCCCTTCAAAAAGCTTCACCCTTCTATGCCACTGCTCTATATTGTGTGGGTTTTGTCTTAGAAGTACGCTATTAGCCAGCTCTGGTCTCCGGTCCATAAGGTACTCTAGCCTTGCCAACCTCAAGTCGACATCCTTATCATCATTCAACCAAAAATTGTTAAGCTTTTTCTCCAGTTTTGCAACATTCAATCGATCCTCCTCTTCCTCCTCCTTCATCCCTTTCTCAATATTACCCTCATCATTATCATCATCATCAACTTCACTTTCGCTCATCTCTTCCATCTTTAATGCAAGCATACTCTCCTCGAACTTTGAATACACGTCAAAGATAACACTAAAATCTCTAACTGTCACTACAGTGGTCATCCCCTCTTCAAATATATCCCTTGCCTTCTCAACCAATTTTCTATGGATGTAGTAGTCTGCCAAGGACGTCCATAACCTCCCAACCTCGTCTGTGAACTTTCGAATCCCTCCCCTAATGATTGCATCCACATTCATTCCGGAAACCTCCGTAGCATGCTGAGTCAACAAATCACAGAGATCCAACCATAGCCTGTGCTTTGTTTTTCCTTTAATCGAATAGAACTGATCATCGTTCAATACTCCTGCCAACCTCTCTGAAGCCTCCTGCCATAGCCCGGAATTCAGCAAGAACTCAATGAAATCCTCGATATGGGAGGGGTCATACTTCAAGTACCGTCTATAAACCCGGAGTGATGTCTCGATCGGAACCCCCTTCTGACTGACAAAATTCAAATAGAGCGCCCAAACCCGATCATGTTGAGTCACCGGCAAAGCACACAGCGCACGATCAAAGGCGTGGCGAGTCCGGGTCAAATACTTCTGCTCTGTTAGGGTTTGCAAGTACATGATCCAGATGCGAGGCATCTTGTGCATACTCACTAGGGCCCGCTCAAAGGTGTTGTTTAGAGTTTGGTACTGGGAGTGGGTGACAGGAAGATTACGAACCACTTCAAGGCGTTCGCGAAGATAAGCTTGCCATAGCTTGTAACTGCCAGGGAGAGCTTTCAAAGCACGCTCATAGATGATGGAACGCTTCTTGAAAGGGGAGTCAGCTCGAGCCACCAAATAGCGCCACCATAACTTCAAGCTGAATGGGTTTCTGAGGAGCTCTTCTTCGTATGGGAGGTCATTCTCAGATGGATACAGTTCTTTAGGAATAGCCATTCTTTAGAAATTACAGTTGCAATGCACCTACCAAACACAACAAATACTCATTAGGATCTGATCAAGCGAGACAAGTATGAACACTAACAGCTCAAATATGGGCTATATTGAAGTTATCATCTGAAACCTCAGCCAAACCCTATTTCTAAAGCCTAAATATTAAGAGTCAAATGGGATTCATAGTTATCACTGTGGCCATAGCAAGGCGCGGCACTAGTGAACAGCCAGGATGCCCAGTCGACTAGAGGCTCACCTAGGTGATAATCTGGTGACAAGTACTCCGTAATGAACAAATTTACTATACAATACAAGTAAATTATAATTCATAAACTGTAAAGCTCATAGTCACCATAGTTTAAATATCCATTTAAAACAAAATGAAGTCAAGAAAACTGTGGGATAGTAAAGGCTCTTTGGACGGAATGTAAATTTGAGAACTCTCATTTTCAGCCATAAGTATCCTTGTTGATTATTTTGCAGGCCATTACTTGGGCGATTCTTTTTTGTTGATTGTGGATGGCTTTGCGTAAGTTTCCAGAGGGTAGTATCGAGGAGTGATTGGGGGAAAGACATCGTTGTTTTTAAAATATGTGTCCAGGCTGTTTCCAAAAAGAGACACGCGTCTCCCAGCCGTATCCTAGGCGTTTTCCCACTTTTTTTACAAATTAAAATTACAGAAACGCTACGTGGAGTTTTCAAGATGTTTCCAGGCGTTTCCGCGACATTGCGGCATGTCCAAGGTCTTCGAAACGGGTATGGCAGCTTATATGAAGTTTCCGTGCAACATAGGTAGCAGGAGCAATAAAAAAGAGGAATGAAAAACCAAAACAAAATTATTGATGCTAAAATTAACAAAAAATTTAATGTAATTTTATTTCTATTTTTCCTTTTCATCAATAGTTACATATTTTAAAAATATCTACTTTACTTGAAATAAATTGAGGGGTCAAAATGTGAAATTATTAAATAAATGGATAGTTTTTAGAAAGTATATAAAGTAGTGGGAAAGGAATATGTTTTTTGAGTTTGAGTTTAGTATAATGGATCGGAGATAAATTACTACTTGATTTAATGTTTACTGCATTTTAGGTTTGGGTTTGATGTATAACACTGGAGATGGTCTAAGTAACCATGCATTTCCAAACCTAGAAAATTAAATTCCAAATTGACAAATTCCAACAATAAAAAATATCACTATGCAAAATCATCACTCATCAAACATAATATCCAATTGATCCAAACACAAGCAATACTTACAATCATATAAAAACCCTAGAGTGCAAGAAATAGAATAAATAGAAAATTTAGGAATTTGGACATACCTGATACCCAAATCAGTGGCGGACAACGGCGGTGGACTTCTGTGTTCTGCCTATGGTCGGAACGCTCCCTGGCGGAGGCGGAGGCGGTGGCGAATAGGCGACGGACGGAAAGAAGCGTGCGGATTCACTATTCGTAAATCTCAACTCAGTCAGCTTCAAGTGGCTCAAGTCGCATTCAGTAGAAATATGCACTAGTCGTAGAACATTTTTTATGGTATCAAACCATATTTTTTAACCTAAATTTGTACTGGTACTATAAAAAAATTGAGGAATGCTAAGCGTACACCATAATGGTGTACTCCATTTGTCCCCACCCATTTCTTTACCATACAATCTTTTTATTTTTATTTGTTTAATTTTTTTTTTAATTTCTTGCCTTGTTTTGTGGTGATGGAGGGGGTGGGGGACAAATGGGGTACAACTTTGGTGTACCATGATGTACCCTTAGCATTTTTATAAAAAATTACACTTCCATCGTCCAAAAGTTATTTTCTAATTACGCATTTTCATGTTTGTCTGAATTTATTTTTAAACATTTTCAATAAAAATTGTGTGAAATTAAAAAATAATAATTACATATTTAAAAGCTAAATAAAAAGATATACAAAATTAAAAATGATATTACTATTTTGTCAAATGGATAAGGAACATAAATTTAATCATTTAAATACTAAAGGAAAAGATAATTTTTGAACAAGAATATAAAAAAATATATATCAAACCGACAAACCATAGTTTTTAATGTTAATCTATAAAATTTAAAAGGTATTTTATAAAATGCTAATAATTTTTTCAAGTTGTTCTTATACCCATCAACCAGCATCTATTCAATTTTATAATTTCAAACCCCTTAGCGCATGGATATAAAATGATAAATATAAAGAGAGCTAAGATCATGTTTTCCTCAACTTATTTTTTTACTTGTTACTTATTCTAATAGGAGTCAGATCAGACTAGATTAGATCAGAAATATCTTTAAATATAAATACATTCAGATGAGATCAGATAAAACCAGATTACAATTTATTTTAATCAAATCAGAGTCAATCAGATCAGGTGAAAGGAACATGGTATAAGTGTCTAACTAATAGGAAGTAACATTTTGTCTAATCTAATTCCACAAAAAATATACTCTTATCATTCCTTATATTCATTTAGTATTACCTTATTTGTAGTCATTTTTTTTATCAATTTTAAAGTTTACTAGTAATAGGGAATAGAATATTACTTTGATCAAAGGGGTTATCGTAGAATGACATGGATTCTAATTGGGACTCCTACTGTGCCTCATTCATAATTTGAAAGTTCTTATCTCTACTAACCCTTCTCTAAACCTTTCACCCCGCCCGACTTGAATTCACCCCTTACCACATTCAATTGTACTCTCAAGTTAATTTGACTTTGGAGTTAAAATTTTAACTCTATAAACAAATAAACTTGGGGGTGGAGAGGTGTCGTTTGAGGTCGAGACAAGACGGGATGTGGGGTTACCGGGAGAGGTAAGGGGTGGTAATCATCAATTATACGAACGGACACCGTAAAGCTCCCGAGAGGGATAAGGGGTGTAGTAAATGTCAAAAAACTGCCCATACTTCGATAGATATGCACTTGACATGAATTTAAAGTCACTTTGAAAACTATTTTCATTAATCACCGATGTGCAATAATATATGTTATCCATATTATGAATAATGGCCAAATATATTCGTTTAGTTATTATTCACAATACGGATAACAGATATAACTAAACATAGGTACACGTAAATTGGATATAAGGTTACCAGTTCTACATCTTTTTACCAATCAAATTTCCATAATCAGATACAGATAATAGCAATTTTAATTGGATACAAATATTTTATACTCTCTCTGTTTCAACAAACCCTTCTCCTTTTGACTTTTAGCCAAAATAAAGAAAGTATATAATTATGGTCGACTTTCTAATTTTATCCCTAATGTGATTGTTAAATTATTATTAGTGTAAAAATTTGATGTGATAGGTAGTGATGGATACCCAATATTTTCCCAAGGACTGTAGATCGGCCCAGGTCCAAATATAGGTATCCGTGCCTTATAACATTGAAAGATAATACGAGATAATAATTAATAGTAATGGAAGCGCTGCTCACGGAATAAGAACTCAAACCGGCGGTCCTCTCCTTTATTCGGTCCTCTCAGGAACGGAATATGCTTAAGGATCACCGGAATATCTTTTATTATTTACTCAAGTATTTTCTCTCTTTATTCCAAGATATCTCTACTCTTCCAGTCTCTCTCTCTTTTATAGGCACTCCCCATCCATTATCCTCTTCAATAATGGCAGTGATTGGGGGAATATTCGTGCCAGCCTTACTCCTTCTAGGGGGATGTATCTCAGCTTGAGGCCGTCCACTAAAGGACAAGCCTCTCCGTCCATCTCTTGCTCTCTGTCCGTCCCTTTCTCCTCGTCCTTGTCCCTTCAATTGAGGGGGGACTACTCATAGGATTCCTTTTTTTTGGGTAGCTTATTCTTAGTGGGCTGGGCTTCAGCCCCCAATCTTTTCCTCTTTCCTATCTTTCTTCACGGAGACTTCCTTTGACCGGCCCAGTATATTTTCTCTAGGCCGGATACTCCTTTTGATGGACGGGATCTAAATTGGGTCTGGGCCCAATTCGCTAGTATTCTCTCGATGGGCTTGGTTCTCATCAGGTAGGGTATGAAAAAATAGGGGTAAAACATGATTTTTTTAATAGAAAGTAGAAGTGTTTTGGAGAAATAAAAAAATGAAAGAAGAAGAATTTATTAAAACAGAGGGAGTATATAAAGAGACACAAGTGTAGACGATAATTAAATTTTCGCTTATCGATATATAACCCTACTCTTATCATAAAATTTCATGGATCATTTGACAAAATAAAACAGTCATACCGTTTCTTATTTTTAGATGTAGTTTTTTTAAATATAAATTTTTTTATTTTAACACTAATTTTTTCATATATATTAAACTAAAAGTCCAATATCATAAATTAAGATTGGAATCTTTTTATGAGACACTGGGAGGATTATATTTATATCTAATATGGACACGTTCGGTGAGGTTTACGAACAGTCAATAATATGACATGGGAATCTAACAATCGAACTGTTTATTTCTCCATAGAAATCATTGTCAGTGAAACAATAGCTTTGTCAATTTTGTTATCACCCATGGTGTGACTGTAAATATATCTCAAGGCAAAGAACATAGGCCCCTTTCCAAACCATCCGCAGGCTTTTTTTTCTCCTTTCAGAAACTCGGCAATGTGACAGCAGTAGGTTCTCACAGAAACCCACCCATCATCACTTGGACTCGTGCACGATTACAGGCCACCGAATCGTTGAACTCTCCGACGACGCAATTCCTCCAAGGCAATGTCATGAACCTCACTTGTCGGGGTGTGAAATGACGAGTCTTGGGATCGACCCGTCCCACACATCTCACAAAAAGTTAAAAGCCCTGAATTGTCAAATGTACATGCTTGGCATCTCCATGTGTCAGATCTGTTTCCAGCCCACCTACCTCCGACAGCTCCCCGACCATGAACTCTTCGTCTGTAGGACCCTATGCCCCACAAGTACTTAAAAGGAAAACTCACTGCACCAACTAGGCCTCTGACCAGTTTGATCAGTGGATTGGAGGAACCAGACAATGAACTCTTCAAGTGTAAATACCCAAGGCCAGCAAGTATTCCGCCAAGATGGCCAAGGAAAGAGACTCCGGGAACGAACATCTGGATGAGAATGAGTTCAGCCCAAGCAGCGTAACGGGTGGGTACCATTAGACCATTTACGTATGTATAGGGCCCTGATTGTGCGTTGAGTATAACTTTCATTGCAAAGAGGACACCAGAGAACCCCACAGCATATTCCCTGTAATAGGGAGTGTCATAGTCAAAGAACAATAAGAGCAATTTGGAGAGCAGAAGAGTAATGCCTTGGGACATAGGAACTAAAACGGCAATCATGGATGCGAATTCTGCAGTTCCCATTGACGTTTCCAGTTGAATCCCTTTCCATAAAAGTGACAGCATATTGTACACCAAGTGAGATTCATTGATGTGGTAGAATGGAGAAAGGAGAAATCGCTTGAGATCCTTGTACTGCAAAAGGGGAGAAACCAAAACCACTGTCAGAATTGGAACACTGATTGATCGATCTTAGCAGCATATTCTTCCAAAATTAAATTATACCGGGAGTAACACATATGCGCTACTTTTCTACTAAAGTCTGAAATTGTTTTGATTCCTTTTTTTTAAAAGAAATACTTGTGCGGTTGATATTGTTCTTCAATGTAACAGATAAATCTCAACCATATAGTTTTCTCTTTCTTAATAGGTGGGCCAAGTCAAATGGCTACATCGAATAGGGACATAGGGAGTAGAATTTATCAGTATAGATCGGACAATAGCAATACCTATAGAGTTAGAATTGTATGCCAATGAGTCGCCAGGCTTGATGTAAGGACATGATAACGGGCCTTTAATTCATTGAATTTTATTTTGTTTACCAAAAAATTGGAGGCCAGTATATACCAACAATCTTCCTCTTTATTTGAATTCTTCCACCAAGAATAATGTAAATGGGTCTTTAACTTATTTAAATTTATTTTGTTTACCAAAAAAATTGGAGGCAATTTAGAACACATGCATGGGTGTGAAATCAATTAGTTTCATCATGTTATTTTGGTACATACATTTCTTTACAACACTAGATAGGTAGCTAGAGTTTGCAGGCAATAACACCACTTCAGCTTAACGGAAATCCGTAAAATCCCTGTTCCAAAAAAGTACAGAGTAAAGACTACACAGTTGGCAAACTTTTATTTTGTCACTATTTCTTAAAGGCACGCAAAATAGTTTATGTCGTTCATATTATAGCAAAGAGAGTGTGCACACAATAAGGGCAGAATGAGCTGCAACTGAATGAAGCATCAGGCATATCAATACCCACCACCCAATTTCAAGTTTCAAACTATCACTAGAAGTTATGCTAAGCCAGCAATACAATTTGGACCGTATCATTAGAATAATATATCTTGTTCTCAAATAGGATTTTTCTAGCTTTAGCCATATTTATGTGTGTATCCAACCCCTAGATTTATTCAAAACAGAAGCATTTATCTAGAGCTCTTGTACTTTTTATATACTAAAAGTCTAAAACAGTGTTACGAAAGGCTTCTTCCTGAATTACCAACAACAACAACCCAGTTGAATCCCACTACAGTAGGGTCAGTAGGGTCTGGACTCTGGGGAGGGTGTGTGTACGCAGACCTTGCCCCTACTCGGAAGTAGAGAGGCTGTTTCCAAGAGACCCCCGACTCCCTGAATACCTGATACAGGCTTCTTCCTGAATTACCAAAAAGTGTTATTAAACGTAGTCCGTAGATGGTGGATTACCAAATTTCAATCCATGGACCTGAATACCTGATACAGGACAGGCTTTATCTCGGAATAATTTAGGTTCAGAACATAGCAAATCCATAGAATTTGATGCAATTTGGAATTAGAGTTAAACTAATACACATTAGTAAATAAATTACTGCGTATAAGATAATAAGAAGTGATGTGGATTACAAAGCACCAAATTCCAGCACATCTGTTAATCACCTTATGTATCTGAGCAAAAACGACAATCATTAATCTCTTGCTTGAATGATTCTATGATCCGATTTGAGTTTTATAGTCCTCATTAGACGTGGAGTGTTGGAGAGGAGTGTGTACCTTGAGAACGAGGTGGGAATTGAACCACACCTCATCGATGTAAGGTATGAAATGATTGAGAAATTAGGGCCTCAAGTAAAGATGGTGTTTGCCGCCATTAGAATAATTTATCTTGCACTCAAATAGGATTTTGCTAGCTTTAGTCATATTTATGTGTTTATCCAACCCCCAGATTTATTTTCAAAACAGAAGCATTATCAAGAGCTCTTGTACTTTTTATAATTTATACTAAAACAGCATAACGAAAGTATCTTCCTGAAGTACCAAAAAGGTGATATTAAAAGTATATGGTGGATTACCAAATTTGATACTAGGACACCATGATTAATTCATAACCTTCCATTATTAATTATTCAAACATTCCATATGACCTGCACTATTCAGTATTTCCACCACTGCCATCCTCCATGACCACTATTTGACAGCATTGTACGCAGGATTTATTTGGTAGGGAATGAGTATGGGGGAAAGGGGTAGATAAATCTGGAATTCCTCTTGTTTGGTTAGGAGAAAAATGGAAGGGGAAATGTTTTGCACCACTGATGCTTCTTCTTCAGATAGACATAAGAGACAAGTATGCATTCCTTTTATATTTCTACCCATTTCATCCGTGTTTCTATCCTGTAGAACAACACAAACAACCAGTCCTATTTCTCTAATATTTCTCCCTTCTCCGTCGCTTTCTCACCCAATTCCCTGAACCAAACATGCAATAAAAGTGAATTTCAGTGTGAAACTGTGAACTGGCTGATGTCCTTCCATTGATAACTTCAAAATGGCATCATGTCTCAACACAAATGAGCATTGATTCTCAATGGTATTACAGTTGGCTAAGTATCTGACCGCTGAAAATCTACCCCATGGCACATAAACCTAACTAGTTTGGCATACAATGGACCTGATACCGAACAGGCTTTATCTCGGAATAATTTAAGTTCAAAACATAGCAAATTCATAGAATTTGATGCAATTCAGAATTAGAGTTAAGCTAATGCACATTAGTAAATAAATTACTACTCCGTAGAGGATTATAAAGCACATCTGTTAATCCTCTTATGTATCAGCAAAAACTACAATCATTATCGCTTTTTTGAATGATTTTATGATCAGATTCCAGTTTTATAGTCCACAATTAGCTTTGACTGTTGGAGAGGAGGGCATACCTTGAGAACGAGGTGGGGATTGAACCACACCTCGTCGATGTAAGGGATGATATGATCGAGAAATTCGGGCCTCAAGTAAACGATGGTGTTCGCCGCCATGAGCCCCGCCGTGAGGGGCGGTTTCCTGTCGAGCCTGCAATACTCCGTCACCGCGTGCAGCGCCAGCAAGGGAAGCATCCCGCGAGAGATCGAACCCCCCCTCTTTCTCCCTCCCCGATCCATGATCAACTAGCCAGATGCAAAGCTATACTCAAACCTGACCTCTCCAACTTCCTTCTGCGGATAACTTCGTAGTTCGTAAGATGAAATTCTCATTTCTTTCAATCGAACAAAAAGGGAAGAGGTATCTTGCAAGAACGGTCTAGAATCTTCCTATCAAAACATACTCCTCCCTCCAAATGTTATCTTTAGAGCACGGGTAATGGCAAGGAACTAAATTTAATGTCACACGTTGACATGACATATTTCAACCAATAAAAGATAATTCAGTTAACGCGTTGCAAGTGAGTGGAGAGACATCTCGTACAGTGGCAAGTCATTATTTTTGTCAATTTTTATGATTTTTTAATGCATTTTAATTATTAAAAATTATTTCATTTATCTTTTTTTATATAGATGTACTTTTAAAAAAAATTTATTTCTTCTAAAAAATAAAAAAAATTGAAGATTCCTCGTGCCTCACACGCTTGGCGTGGAGGGAGGCTTAAACCACGCGAGACAAAAGTGCCGAGGAAGCTGATGTGGCGCAGCGAGCGAGGAAATGCCTCGCCGTTGCGCATGCTCTTATATGGGACGGGGAGAGTATTGAAAAGTACTTCGGATTAATAATTTTGAAGCAAACTAAGAGTTTATCCTATTCAATTTATTTTTATTATTTTGTATTTATTAAAACAAAATCAAATCATATCAGATCAAAAATAAATTTAAGAATAACTTTAACCAGACTAATCAAAGAGTACATCCTCTAAAAAGGAAAGTAAGAGAGTTCTCCCTTCACTTGAGTGGCACTATGAGCACTTGCAATGGAGATAAAAAACTGCCATGTTGGGCTGATGCAGAATGCCGAGTGACGCCTCACTATTGCAGGGTGAGCGGCGGAAGGCAAGCCGCGACGCTTAGCCAGGCGTGAAACACACCTGAAACGGCCTGCCCGCTGTCCATTGCAGCGGTGCGCTGTGCTGCTCTGCCTAATTTTTTTAATTTTTCAATTCCACATCTTCCACTTCTATTTATCCACTGTAACCCCTCTCAATTCACTCTTTTTTTCCATTTATCTTCATCTTTAATTTCTTATTTTACTAAAAAATGGTTCTTCCTCCAACGAATGATGAGTTCGTGGATATGCTAGTTGCGGCGTACCATGAGTATTTGCCTTCCATCCAAGCAGGTGGATATGCTAACTGTGGCGGCTACTCCTCCCGTTCCACGTAGGTGGTTGTACATTCGTCGGGACCGTGAATAGCCGTTAGTTTGAAGATTATTTTTCAAACGTTTCACATTTTTCTGATGACCAGTTTCGTCTGCACTTCTGAATGCTTCATGTATTATTCGTTCGAATTACAAGGGCTCGCACCCGACGATCGTGCTCGAGGCTGTGGCCGACCATGTGGATCTAGCATGCGTACTTCGTGGTCGTTGGATCGAACAACAATTTGAACGTGTTGAATGGGTCCCCTTTATTCAACGATGCGTGCGCTGGACGCGTGCCAGTAGTACAATTCACCGTCAATGGTCGCCAATATAACATGGAATATTATTTGGCGGATGAGATCTATCCACGTTGGCTAGTGTTTGTGAAAATAATCACGTGTCCGACAAATTCAAAGAGGGCATTGTTCGCACAGAAATAAGAGTCAGCGCGGAAAGATGGGAAACGTACATTTAGAGTGCTCCAGGCGCGATGAGCGATAGTGAAAGGCCTCGCACGCTCGTGGTACCGATCGTTCATCTCGGGCATCATGTTTGCATGTATAATACTGCATAACATGATAGTCGAAGATGAGGGAGCCAACGTCGCTCGTTTTACAGACGAAGGGGTTGCATCCACTTCTAAGACATCCGTCATGCAAGGACCAACGACTCAAGGGTCACCTCCCAATTTACAAGATTTTGCAAATCGGCGTGCAAGTATGCGTGATGAACGAAGCTAAGCCATGCTACCCTCCAGGATGATTTGATCAAGAAATTTGGAGGCGCAACAATACTTAATTCTAGCATTAATTTTCGTTGTATTTTTAAAATTTTGAATTTTATTTCGGTGTAGTTATTTTTTATTTCGATATTGTTTTTAATAAAGAGTGTCATTGTTAGCATTTTTATTTTAATTATATTAATAAAATAATGAATAATGTAAAAGAAATGGAGATTCTGCTTTTTTAGGGCGATAGCATTACAGAATTTTGGAGCAGGATTGAAAATTAGTAGAATGCTAACGTAGCAGACAATGGAGCAAGACAAGATTCAATCATTCAATCCCATTGTGAATGCTCTAAGTTCACTCTCAAAGATTCACGACGAAGCACATATCTAGTTTCGATTCTCAACAGAAATGAAGACATTGACTTATTGTGCGTCATTGGATTCAAAAAGTATGAACAAATTCTACTTGCCTCGTCCCAAAATTAATTTCTCATTTTGACTTGAGTTCATTTTTAACAAAGTGTAAAAATTATGTTGGCTTTCCATTTATGCCCTTGCTTTAGACACCAAGAAGCCAATCGTTTGTTTGATTTGGCCAACAACAATATTCATTGCAAAATTTTTACAAAATCCAAACAATAAAAAAACAAAAGAATTCTTCTTTTTCCTCTATTGTAATCAAATTGCAAGAAACGATTTTCAAGATTTTTCTCGTTCTGCAATTGATTTGCACACAACACAGAGAGGTCACAGATGGAAGATGACAATGCTAATCCACCGGCGTCGCCCACTTCGATTGCAGATAGTCCTCTGAATCCTTTGCGGAGAGGATAAGCGATCCAAGCTGCCTTCCGTTCGCTTCATCTGATCTGATCATATTTTTCAAAGATTTGATCAGATCTGATCAGGTCTAGTCTGATCTGATTGCAGTTAACTAGTTATAATTAAAGTTGTTTCTGATCTGATTATAATAAGAATAATTAATAAACAGAAAAAAATAAATTAAACGAAGCGATGTCTCATTTGAAGAAATACAGAATCTTTAGAAGAAATTGAAAGAAGCAATCTATGAGTTGCAAGGTGAGAGACTGACAAGGATTGGAGGGGGTGGGTCTAGGGTTCACGAGTTAGGCTTGGCCTATGGGGTATGGGATCGGCGCGGTCCGTGTGGCACGCGGTCCCAATGGGGAACACTGCCTCCCGATTGGAACTTGGTGTCACGGGCATCCGCACGCTGATGCCCACGATCTGACAACCTTTTTTTTTCTTATGACCATTGGGTCCAAAAAACATTGATGTAATATTTTGTCGTATTCTTTTAAACACATTGGGATGTACCTTGAATGTGATACATCCAATATCTGAAAATAAGTATTCTTTTAACGCGAAATGGGGATTCCAAACAACTAAACGGGCAATATTTATAAGAAAATGAACATAATATACAAACAGAAACATATAAACTGAATGAAATGAACATTATTTAGAGCCATCATGAATATGTTGTCCAAAAAATTACTGAGGTGCAAAAAAAATCATGGAAGTAATTGTAAAATATAATTATTTTCATTTCATTTGACATGGTTCTTATGTATATTTGCATATTGTTAGTTCACGTTTGTAATTGTAGTCACACGAATAATTTTATAATCTAACATGTCTCATCACAAGCACGTACTCCCTCCGTCCCCCTGTATTTGTCCATATTTGACTTTTGGAACTATTCATCTAAGCACTTTGACTCATCAAATTCTCTCAATGTGTAAGCCTAAATATAGTCATGTGTGATCTTGTTTGATTTGTCTTAACATATAGATTATTAATATATAATTTTTATAATTTTTTAATATACAAATTACAAGATAAAATGGATTAAAAAAGTGCATTGGATGGTGTGCAAAAATGAAAGTGGACAAATACAGGGGGACGGAGGGAGTAACATTTATTCTAACAAGACTCTAATACAGTGCTAAGGAACCAAACGCTTAAGCTTGTAGTTCAAGTCTCATGAATGGTTTTATGCTCTAACAATGACAACTATAATACTCTGCACCTTTAGACTTGAAGGATCCTATTTAAGTGCACAAACTCAAAATTGATGCCATAAGTACACACATTGCAAATGCTATAGATGCCAAAAAAGGGGTAAATTTCTCAATAAAAAATAAAAAAAAATTATATTTATCCTTGGGTGTTTTCTAGCATCTAACTTTCACAATGTTGTCTTCGGTTTGAAGTAAATATAAGAATAAGACACACCTCACATGGGCTCGTGAAGACCAACCATGTGGCCATCTACACACCTCACAGCAGCAACCTGACACATCCACCAAAACGCAATGAAATATGTCAGCTTTCGGCTTGGGTAGATTACATACGCCACGCCAACCAATATATCAAAAGTTGAATGGCTCAAAAGGGCCAACGTGCAAAATCCAAGCGGCTGAAAATGTGTTCTGTCACATATAGTAAGGGAAAGAGAAGCAATTAGTCCAGAACATACCTTCCCATGAATCTCATATTTGATGGGACCGTCCAACTCTGCACCTAGCGCTATCAGTTTCGTCACAGTACTGTTGATGTCACATACTGTAAAGGATAAAAGTGACGAATATCCCTTCGCCACAACATTATTGCTGTAAAATAAAGAAACTATTAGAGTGTTGCTCACTACTGGACTGTTGCTGCAGTTAAAAGGCATCGAAAAATCTGAAATAAAAACAGAAATGAATATATCAAGGCTAATAGAACTCATTTGATAATTATATAGGAGAAAAAAGGAACTACTTACATGCCTAAGAGGCTAAGACACGAGAGATCAAATGCACCATAGCCCATATCTCAACTTTTCATTCTATTAACTTATTCTTAATTTTTAGAAGTAAATCACAAAAAAATAAACCAAGATGTTTGAGGGTCACTGCTCCAAATTCCTACAAAGGACCATGGTCACGGTTAAACTTCAATTGCTTCTCTTTTTTTTTGTGAAGTTTTGGACAGCAAATGCATCATGGCTAACGGATATAGTGTCTCTGTGTTTTATTGGAGTAAGGTTGCGTCCATATTGACACCCCAAACTCAATTGCATTGAGATTATATCGGGTTTGTTGTTGTATATCATGATGGCTGTCAAGAGTCGTGTCCAGTAAGGAACTATATATATGGGAGGAGATAAAAAAATAATCATTTTGACAACATTTTGACATTTGACTTTGAGTAAATAATGGATAAATTCAAAATTACACACTAAAATTCTCTTGATTCTTACTTTCTATGAAATTTTGGGAAGTAAATGCAACAATGCATCAGAGGTGCGGAGTATAATGGAAACGCACTCTCTAATTTTTTACAAGGGTAAGATTGTGTATTATCTTGACCCCAGCACCCAATGACGTTGGGATAATACTGGGTTTGTTATTTTTTATATATGAAAGAGAGAAAACCAAATAAGAGAGTTATCCAAAAGGATCCAAAGAGGGGGGAGAAACTCCATTAACAATTCACATGAACCTCATCACATTAACATCCCTAATATATACAACCTCACCACTAATTGGCCCAAGCCCAACTATATAGACTATATCCATTACAGATACTTGGATTTTAGTTCTGTTTCAAAAAGACACAGTCAATCAATTTTAACAGCCCAAGGCATAATCAAGTAATCAATAATATCAGTTCCAATTTTCAAGGTATAGAGATACAGAAGCAGGATCCCGAAGTTCCTAAGCGCCCAGCTATCTGAAATGCTCAATTTCTCGGTATATTAATAAAGCTAAAACCAACTAGCCAAGGCCAAAGAGCAATCTGTGTAATCTTCTATTTCAACTGTCAACAACAAAAAACCCACTATGATCCCACAAATAGTAGGGTCCAGGAGGGTGTGTGTGTGCAAACATTAGCCCTACTCGGAAGTAGAGAGAAGGTTTCCAAGAGGCATTTGACTCAAATAACCTTCAGGTATCTTTCATCATTTTATAAGAGGAGCCCAACTAGATTTGTGCTTACCTAGGCGGCTAGGCCATATTAAATTCCAAAACTTTAAAATTGGACAGATTGCATAAAACCTTGGCCTTGAAACTTTTAACTTCAACCACAAAATCCAATTCCTCATTGCGAGACAAACTATTAAAGGTCATTTGATTCAACTAGGAATTGGAATCAGGTACCCCAAACGTATACATCTGAAACCTACACGATGCACCAGCGGACGTCGGAAACCTACATAGTCAACAGTGAGAAGACAGTAACTAAAGCTTCAACTTAGAGCGGCCATTCCCCCATTGAAGAACCAACCCCTGATTACTTTTAACAGTACAGACCAAACTCTTGGTTTTAACTTTCAATCTATCATGACTTATCAACCTCATTATTAATTCCAACCTGATAACTAAAGTGAGAAGCTACAACAACACAAAGCAATACCAGACAGTGGAATAAAAAGGAACATCCAACACTTCAACGATGCATAATCCACTATACCATTGTATAACAACAACAAGCCCGGTAAAACTCCACAACAGAATTACATAATAGTATGGTCTGAGGGTCTCGGAAGGGTGTGTGTACAGCTCAAGGCGGTATGCATGTATTACCCCTACAATGAAGTAGATAGGCTGTTTCCAAGAGACCCCGGCTCAAACACAGAGTCACAAAGTAAAAGTAAAGAGGTACTCCCTCAATTCCATATTAACTGTCCATTAACACTCTCTAGATACATTGAAAAATAGATGAAAGTAGACATACTTTATGTCTACATCCATTCACTTTTCAATGTATCTAAGAAGTCGAAATTGATAGTTATTATAGAATGGAGGGAATAATAAACACACATACCGACACCAGCAACGAGAACCAATGCGCATGAAGACCGGAAGCACACATGCACTAAGGTAAAAAGACACAATCATAAACTACAATCTAAAGCCTAAAGGTTCTAATCAACTACTCTAGTCCAAAACCTCGAGACCTTCGTTCCTATCCAAGACCTAATAGGTGAAATACTAAAGTCTAAAGCCATGAGTCTTGTCTAATAATCTCCCTTCCAACTCTTCCTAGGTCTACCTTTACCCCTTCTCAACTGTACCATTGTATCAGAATCATATTTCAACGCAGCAAGAGATGAACTATCTGGATTCAAGCAACAAATCAAAATCACATTTCAAACGCAACGAAAGAGGAACAGCCAGAGGATTCGAGCACACACAATAGTGAATCATTCAAATTGCGCTTCGTAAATGGTGGAAGAAATAGATCGACCTGGGGGATTGCATGAGAGCGAGCTTGAGAGGGCCGGATTCGAGCTCGGCCCAACGAAGAGTGCAGACATTGACGGTGAGACCCAACCCTTCCGAGTAGAACTTCGCAGCTTTAGGGACGTCCTTGTGTAGCTGCAGTATCCATCTGAATGAGGCCGCCATTTCCTTCTCCTCTCTGAGGTCGGACAAGCTCTACCTCATCGGCTTCCACTGCCCAGCGGCCGTTTTTTGCCCGTCTCCATGGTACAAAAGGGGTGAAATTGGAAAATTGAACAATCTGGTAGAAAAATGTTTAGAAAATGTCTTCCAATTCTCACATTACCTGAAATAATACTTAGGGCTACCTTCAATTTTCAAATTATTCGGAATATACTCCGAGATCCTTAAAAATTGTGATACTCCCTCCGTCCAACAATAAACTTTCATGTTGCTACTACAGCATCCCGATAACTTATATTTGTTTGCATATTTTCATGAAAAACACAAGTTAATAAAGCATTCCAATGAAACAAACTAAGGGTCCGTTGGATACACGGAATTAACGGAAATGGAATTGAATATGGAGTTGAAATTCTATAGAGTTGATTTGGATGGAATTGAATTCTCCAATTCCAATTCATTTTTGGCACTGCCAATTCCAAATCCACATTTTTGTGTGTTATCAAACAGCATAATTGGAATTGTTGTCCCTAATTCCAATTCCATAGTTTAAATTCCGTGTACCAAACGGAACCTAAGAGAAAAGCTAATAATACAAGTATCTGATAACTATTAACACCAAAGACCCCACAAAAGAACAAAGTGAACTACGAACCCTAAACAATGCAAATACTGAAATACTTAGCAATGGCAAGACAAAGCAACATAGTGAAATATAAACCCTAAAATCCTATATAATGCAATCAATAACAAAACAAATACTCTGTCCTGAGCAATGAGCATTCAAAATTTAAAGGCCTAATTACCTAAACGACTAAGAGATTACCTAGACCGATCAAATAGCATTCAAATACGAACGGGGAAAAGAAAATAAATCATTCAACACAGACAATTATTCCAAAATAGAAGGGAAAAAAATCAAAGAAATCGCACCTAGACTCCTGGAGAATGGAATCGCGCAACCGGATATTAAACTACGAACCCGAAATATGGATTGCTGCCGAGCCGCCGATGGTCCTAGATTCCTAGCAGCGCCGTCGCCTCCTGCCGTCCCCCGTCGTTCCGTCCGCTTCTCGCCTGCTCCGTTGCGATCTCGCAAGAATACGTTGGGGCTTATGGGATTATTTGGGCCCTTTGGATTAGAGTTGGGACTATTATCAATTTTCTTTTAGTTATTTATTAGTTTTAAAACTATTGGGCCTCCATATTTTGGGAATGTGTGTTGGGAATATTGTGTAGGCCCAACACCGGCTTGTTTAAAATTACTTTAAACCTTTTACATGTGCAAACTATTAAAATAAGATTAAATTCTCAAAATAGTCTTTTGTAATAAGTTGTTTTTCCAAATCAGTCCTCAATAAGTTTTAATTACCTACGTGGGATCCTCTACAATTGAAGTTTTTACCAAGATGGTCCTTCGTAAATAATGTTACTCAAATGAGGATTAAATGAGGGTATTTTGGTATTTTTATTCGCTAAATTTAGAATTAATTCTAAAAATGATCATTTATAATGAAGTGCTTTCCAAAATGGTTTATTCTAATTAAAGATGTGTATTTGATTTGAAATTTAAAAGATTTTTTTATAAGTTTTAAATAATTCATGAATTATAATAATTGAATTATTTATAGTCAATGTATTTTTTTAATTTTACATTTAGTTGTACAGAAATAACTGTTTTGAGAATATACTTTAAATTTGGATGATCAAAATACCAAAATATCTCCCAATTAATCATTATTTGAGTAACATTATTTACGAAGGACTATCTTGGGTATAAATCTCAATTATAAAGGACCATGTATGACTGAATTGAAAAAACAACTTATTACAAAGGAACATTTGAGAATTTACTCTTAAAATAAATAAATATAAGTGGCAATTTGTTGTTTTCTTGCGTTCATTTTGTTGATTCGTCTCATAGTTTTGCAGCTAGATTTTAGGATTTTATATTTCTTAGATTTTTAGCATTCAAGGTTTCCAAATTTATTTGATTTAATTTTTCTAAAACTAAAATATTACGATACCGCAATGGATATGTTCTCCATTTATAAGAGCAATCACAATGGGAAGACAATAATGTCTGGTCTTGCCTAGCCATGTCAGCAAATACCACCCAAATCATGGCATTCCATGATCATTCCACCGCACTTTTCCTTCCATGTGGTCATTCCACCGCACTTTTCCTTCCATGTGTAAGGCATGACTCTCTGATTTTTTTATTTTTTAATATTTTAAATATTTTTAATTTTTGAAAAAAAATATTTTTAAAACTAGACAATAATCATTAAAAAGTGCAAAAATAGACAACAACAATAACTTGCCATTGTTTGTTACGATACTCCACTCACTTGTCACACGGTGATTGAGTTATTTTTTACTCCCTCCGTCCCAGAAAAAATGTCACGTTTACTATTTTGGCCTCTCGATAACTTTTGTTTGTTTACTCGTTTTGGTTGACCATTTGATAAAATAAAATATTCTTGTCGCATCTTGTTTTGTAGAGCTTTTCATATACTTTTAAATGGTATAATTTTTACTTTTCATTACTTTACCAATTTGAAATTAAAGTGATTTTAAAAGAGATGATATTTTGCACGTCGTTCAAAGTGTTGCAAATAAATTGGGACGGAGGGAGGTTTAATTAAAATATTCTATGTCACCGTGTGATATTTTATTTTTTGACTTATCATTGTTAATGCTCTAAGATTTGATTTTTGTGAGAAACTTTTTCTTAAATTTCCATGTGGGGGAGATTATTGTTAATAGTTGCACGCTTGGCTGGCCGTGCTTCTATAAAAGCAAACAAAATGCTTCATAGTTTCACTCTCTCAATGATGAGGAGACTCAATGCTAATGGTTGTCTCGGAATTACATGTATTAAGGTTAAAACAGAATTAAATAAAATTTCGTTTGAACATTAGAAATGACAAATATTTATAAATGTTAAATATACATATTCTAGATCGCGATCCATTTAAAAATATTTTCGGAGTAAAGTGAAAGTACAGTAATAATCAAATCATGACACATTTTAAAAATACTGATTATCAAACATTTGTATGCAATCCCTACACCTCCTCTGACTCAATGTCATCCAGGAGTGATTCAGCCATTGTCATCTTGTTACCTACGTCAACGAAAAATACAAACTACACGCGCAGCGAAACCGCTGAGTGATATCAAGCTAGAGTTGCAGAATAACTCACAAAGATATACATATACATATATATTCGTCCACATAAACATGTAAAAATATTCATGATATGGTTTACTACTTTATTATAACATATGATCGAGATGACTATACATGATTAGGGGTGGACACGGTATCGGTACGGTACCGTGACCGGAAACGGTACCGCCGGTTCCGGTACCGCTACCATCGGCCGGGACGGTCCACCGGTTCCGAGAACCGGTACCGGTACCGCCCACTCCGGTACCGGTTCCGGTGCCCATTTTTCGGTACCGGCACCGGCGGTACCGGTTCCGGTACCGTAATTATTTTTTTTTTATTTTTTTATTTCATTCTTTCCTTTATCAATTTCATTTTTAGAGTTTTTTATTTCATCCTTTCTTTTAACAATTACACATTTACAATTTTACACTTTAAAAATTTAATAAAAAAGCAAAAAAAAGGAAATTATGGGTGGCCGAAACGGTACCGGAACCGGAACCGGTACCGGCCGATCCGGTACTGGTACCGGTACCAAGGGGTGGCGGTACCGGAACCGGCGGTTCCGGAACCGGAACCGTACCGTGTCCACCCCTATACATGATGATGGATGCATGACAACACAAATAATCAATATGATTCTCGAATCTCGATTACCTAGTTCAACTCAAGAGACTTATTATATACCAATGAATTTTTTCTTCAAAAAAATAGAATTATAGTAATAAAAAATTGAGTAAATTCCATAAAAGATTCGCAGTTATAGGTTGTTTTACATATTTAGTCCTTGCATATCAAATATTACTAATTTAGTCCCTAATTATTATATTCATTTCCAAGAAAGGTCTTTTGTTAACATTTCCGTTAAGAACATAGATAAAATTGTAAATTCACACTCCTTTATCTCCTCAATTAAGTTTCCTCCCTCTCGCATTCTTTTCCAAACTCGTCGCGGAGAAGCTCTAAACCCAAAACTGAAATGATCATTCCTCTCTCAATTATTAATCTTCCTCGTGGAACTTAAAATCAAAACCAATAAGCTTTATGGATGAATTTTTTCAGTTAGTCTCAAGAAATTGCAAAGAAAATAAAAACTAAAACTCATCCATCAAGGTTACAGGTTTCAAACTTGGGTTCCACCAGTTAGACAAACAATTGAGAGAAGAGTGATGATTTCGGTTTTAGGTTCAAAGCTTCAAACTCAGCGACGGGTTTGGGAAAGGAGTGTGAGGAGAGGGAGGAAGTTTAATTGAAGAGAAAAAGGAGTGTGAATTTACAATTTTATCCACGTTATTAACGAAAATGTTAACAAAGGACCATTCGTGGAAATGAATATAATAATTGGGGACTAAATTACTAATATTTGATATGTAGAGACTAAATATGTAAAACGACCTATAACTGGGGACCTTTTATGAAATTACTCTAAAAAATTATAGATATAATCTTTAGACTTAAATTTTTAAATACATTGACATGGAAGTTATTTTTAGTAAAAACAAAATACTTTGATTTAAAGTATAACTTTATAATATTTTCGAAATATGACAAACAAACAAAATTACATTTTTTTGACTTACGATATTGTTGGTGAAGTAAAGTAAAATGGTTCTCTAAATCGTCAGTGCTTTTTTAATTAATGTAGTAATTAGTCACTCAATACAATTAACTTTTGACGCTAAGCTGATGGTTTATTTGGAAATATTCTTTTTACTTTCAAGTAAGGGTAAGGTCTGCGCACATACGCTCCCCAGATCTCACCCTTGTGGGATTCAACTAAGTTGTTGTTCTTATATGATATTGTTGATGAAAATACTTATAATAAATATGATTTTTTTTTTCAAACATGCCCAATGGATAGATAAAAATAAAAGAGTAAATTCATAATTGGTCCTTTATAACATGGGGGTTTTCCTATTTAGTCATCTATTATCAAATATTACCCTAGTGGTCCTTCTTTTATGGGTATCTTTCCACAAATAGTCCTTTTTTTCTATCATGTTGGTGTTAATTTGAGAACTAAAAGTGTAATTTCGCAATGATAATATATCTTTTTTGTCATACACAATTCCAAAGGCTGTTCCGTTTTCATCGTTTGTGAATTACAGTCGCTTTCTACTACAACCATAATCTACAAATGTGGTCTTTCGTTAGAATCCTAGCCTACAATCATAGTCATTATTTTTGTGTTATCCGCTTAATCAATATCAAAACACGTCACAAGACATAATGTTGATGTCAAATTATACTTTTAGCCTTTAAATTAATACCAATATGATAGAAAATAAAAAAAGACCATTTGTGGAAAGTCACCTTTAAAAAAAGGACTACGGGAGTAATATTTGATAATAGAGGACTAAATATGGAAACCCCCATGTTATACAGGACCAATTATGGAATTTACTCAAAATAAAAGTAGGGTTGAGAAAAAATTTAAATCAAATTTACGATGTCGCAAAACAAGTTAAAAAGATTTGAGATTTTTTTAAAAAAAATTAATTCTAGTTTTTTAGTCTAAAACCGCATCAAGCCGGAATAAAACCAATTTGGATTGAGTAGTTCATATGCTCATCAGTTTCACATTTGTTCAGTCTTATAATCTCAACCTCCTTAAACACATACTGTAATCCCAACACCGAATAGTGAGGCGTTGAGATGCCTTACCACTATGCGAACATACTTCATGTAATTTGATCATGTAAATAAAAATCTTATTCTGGATATTTTGAAACCAATAGGATGGGCCCCACAAGGGGTGAGGGAAGACTGCACATTGAGAATGGTGGGGACACATTGAGAATGTTTGTCTGGTTAAAGAGCACCAAAGACTGCACTTTTTCCTTCAACGAACCATTTCCCCTTCTCATCATTATCATTACGGAGTACTCACTCCCTCCCTTTAAACATGAAATGTTTTGATTTTGAAGAGATTTAAGAAGAGTGTATTTTGGTATTGAATTTCCAAAAATATCTTTTGATGTAATGGGTAAAAGTAGGATTTAATAGGTAGATTATTAGTAAAAAGGTATGATGCGATAGGTAGGGTACGAAAAAACAAGGAATAAAAGTAACTTTTTAGTAGAAATAAGAAATGTTGTTTGAGACAAATAAAAAAAGAAAGGAGAAAGATATTTAGGGACGGAGGGAGCATTATATTTCCTTCTCTTCCATGTGAACTAGTTAAAGCTCTCATCTCTTCCCTATATGTAATGTATAGCTGAGACAGAGTCAAGACAAATCCTCTACCTATATATGCTAGCACCTATATAAGTATGCCTATTAAAATGCTAGGGCACATCAAATTACCAAAGGTGTACCCCAAATGTTCCCCATCCCCTCTTTGTCTACAAAAATAAGCAAGAAAATTCAAAAAAAAAATAAGTAAATAAAAAAATAAATTAAAATGAATGGTTATGGAGGGGTTGGGGACATTTGGAGTACACCTTTGGTGTACCNAATTAAATCTAACAATTACACTGGGATAGAAATAATATTTTAATTTGCAATGTTAAATAAATAAAGTAATATATATATATATATATATATATATATATATATATATATATATATATATATATATATATATATATATATATTACTTTATTTATTTAACATTGCAAATTAAAATATTATTTCTATCCCAGTGTAATTGTTAGATTTAATTTTTTTCGAGTCAAAATAGATGAACTTTAAACCTTAATTAAATTTATGTGTATAAATATGGGATGCAAATTGAGATTAAATAATGATTAAAGTTTGTCTAATTTAACTCAAAAAAGTCAAACATGACAAATATACTGAAACGAAAAAAATACTCCTTGATTTATCGTGACTTACTCCTAACTATATGTAACTGTTAGAATTTATCCCACATCGGAAGTTGAATATAAAAGTTATCGGTATATAAGGTCTTGAGTTGAACTAACTAATCGATTAGATTCAATCTTTTAATGTGGTTCAACCCAAGTGTCTTATTACCCAATCCAGTTGTCCATACCCCATCCTAAATTCTATCATGGTATCGGAGCAAATTTATTCGGAAGTTTTTGACGAACATAGCACAGGCACCCGAATACCCGAATATGACTAAGATCACAAGGTTTAGACGAAAGAATTTCAAGAGGAGACTTACCACCCAAGAGGGGCGTGGGAAGACGATTAATAAGATAAACTGCTGTTTTGACACACTATCAGTAACTCTTGAGATCTTGAGATAACGTTCAACCTTCAATTACTCCTAACGAAGAAAATAGGACTAAAATATTTTAAAAACTAAACAACAACAACTAAAATGAGACAATTATTTTATACACACACACTCCATGTGTTCTAGAAAAGACTTCTTCTTTCATTTTTTCCATTTCCAACAAAATAATTCCACTTTCTATTATAAAACCAATTTTTACCTTTATTTTGTTTATACCTTACTTACCACATTATATTTTTTCTCTAATAACATATTCATCAGATCTTCCTTTAATTTTACCTATTCCATCAGGGGTAAAATTGGAAGTGAACTACAATTTAACAATTCCTTATTTTTGCACTTGGTCAAAATAAGAAGTCTTTTTTTAGAACGGATGGAATATATATATACTACCTTCGTTCCAGAATACTTGTTCAGTTTTAACTTTTTCAGTCAACTGCTTTCAATCTTTGACCTATAATATAATAAAATAAAATATATATTGCATATTAATTAGATACAATAATATTTTGAAAATATCTTATATAATAAATCTAACTAAACTATTTGTGTATCAATATCTAATACTCCCTCCGTTTTTTAAAAGTGTTCCTATTTTGACTTTGTGTAAAAATAAGGAAGTGTTAAATTGTAGTTGACTTCCAATTTTGCCCTTGATGTGATGGGTAAAAGTAAGATATGATGGATTGAGTATTAGAGAAAAAGTATGATGTGATAGGTAGGGTATGAAAAAGTAAGGGTAAAAGTGGTTTTTTAATAGAAAGTGGAAGTGTTTTGTTCGAAGTAAAAAAATGAAAGAGGAAGAGTTTTTGAGAACGGAGGGAGTATCATTTTATTTAATTTGATATCAAAGTTTACCAATTTTGACCAAAAAAAGTCAATATAATAGAATATTTTTCATCATTAATATAAACATGATCACACAACTTCATACCACAACTTCATACCTTTTTTCCCTTAATGTGTCTAAGTCAAAATGAGAAGAAAAATTTAAAATAATTAGGATGGATTAAGTAATTGTAACATACTTGCTACGTCCCAAAAATGTTTGTCACATTACGCAAAATGAAGTGATATTTTGAATTTTTTATATAAATATTGGTATAGAAATAAAAAGATAAAATTTACGACATATTTAAAAACTACGCCAAAAGTCTTTAAAACAGGAGGTGACAAGAATTATTTTATTTTATCAAATAATCAATGAAAATGTACTAATAAATAAAAAAATTTGTAATTTTCAAATAGTAAACTGTGATATTTTTTTGAACAAAGAGGGAGTATGTAATTTTATCCAAAAAAATTCTACGTACAAAAATAAATTTTACATTTTTAAGTCTTTTCTTTGCAAACATTTAATGGCCTTCTTTGGAAAAAACGTCATCAATTAGTGTTAGCGTTTTGGATAAAATATTAACGGTTTAGATTAATTCGGAAAACATTAACGCTAAAGACCACCGTCGAACAACCTTTTAATTTCAAAATGCTAACGTGAATCTCTAATGCGGATATCAAACAGGGCCTAAGATTTAATTTAGAGTTTTCGGTCTTCCACACAATCTATGTCATCCAATGTGTCAATTATATTACTCCGTATGTGTGAGTGGTTAGAGAATTTATTAATAAACAATAGTCATCATTTTTCAATCACTCATAAGTAGTTACATCATTTCATCATTTGTCTCCCTATATTTATCTATATTACTTCAATTGATAAATTGTTTTATTAATTAGTGAATGTTTATAAAACTGAATTAGATCATTATTTAAACGAAAGAAATTAATTAATTTCATGGCAATATTTAAACATGGTTTCACTAGATTTGTTTTGAAAAAAAATACTTAACAATTATTTTTCAAAAATTATTATATATATGTGCTAGTTAAAATAATCAAATTATACATCCACCTAAGTGACCATAAAAAATGAATTTGACAAATACTTTGGCACATGCAAATATTTTCCAAAAAAAGTTTATTTTATTTTTTGTACATGATTTTCGAAAATTTTGAAAAAAATGACAAAAGATTGGACCTCACTCCCCCAACATACACTTAAAGATTAAGAAAGAGGAGACTGGCACTATACTAATCCCTTGTCCCTAAAAGATCACGTCAAACTAACTATGTCACACTTTGATCATAAATTTTTAAAAATGTATATTCATTTATAATATAAATTTTGTAAAATACTACATATAATTTTACAATTCATTTCAAAGTATAATTTTGATTCATCAATTTTTTTTATAACATTCAATTATTTAGTACTATATTTAATTTGTGGTCAAAATATTATACAATCTTACTTTGAATCTCTTTAGTTAGTAGTGTAGTACATATATAGCCTCAAATAATCAAGTCTTGAACACCTAAAAAGCAGTAAAAAAACAGAAATGGAGACCATGACTTGGATATGTTATATGTATGTATATATTTATATATACATGTATGTATGTATAGGTCAGTGTGTATATACATTATAATGACACTCCCCACTATAAAGCCCTCACCTTTATTTTCTGTTTCAAATTATTCTCATTCTCTCTTTGCTTTACTCTCTCTCTCCTTCTCTCTATTGTGCAAAAAAAAAAAGAAGATAGAAACCCTCTTCTATTTCTTTTGATTCTTCCCAAAGATTCACACACAAAACTTATACAACTTTACAAAAGAGAAGCCTAAGAAATTAAAGATCATCAAGAACTTCATTCATCCAATATATATATAGAATTGTAACATGGTTTTCTCTTCAATTCAGACTTATCTTGATCCCTCCAACTGGCAACCACAGGTATACTCCAAACTGTTTCAAAATTATCGTTCTGTTTTGACTTTTTTTTTGTTTAGTTAACTAATAATTTGCAGAAAATTTATATTCAATTATTATCTAAATCTGATATAATTAAGTTTATTTTAAAATATGGGTTTGATATATCGAGTGCCAATTAATTTTTGTAACATTTTATACTCTTTAAAATTACACCATAATTAATTTGTGGTCAAATTTGACCCCAAATGTCGTCAGTAGAACGAGAATTTTGAGACGAACAGAGAATATAATATACTTGATTTTTTTTTTAAATTCAATTATTTATCTTTGGAAATTAGTTATAGAAAGAATGAATGAAGAAGAAGAAAGGATACAGATCGGATATATCATGTAGCTTCTTACTTTTTATTTTCTTTATATACAAATAATATAATCTTCTTTAATTTTCTTTACTTCCTTTTTTGTTTCTTTAATTATGCACCTCTCTTTTCCTGTAATTTAATTAGTGATGGTTGAATATACTTGAATTATATACAAGTATATACGTACTTTTGGATTTTTAATTTCAACTTTTTTTTGTGGTTGTAGCAATTAAATCATCAACATCATCTAGGCGAAAGTGGTACCATTCCAACTCCACACCTACCCCTACCAACTCCGCCGGAGGCCGCCCAAGCGAATGCTAGCGGAGTTGGTGGAGGCGGGATACGGCCGAATTCCATGGCGGAGCGGGCCCGGTTAGCGAATATCCAGATTCCGGACGCGGCCTTGAAGTGCCCGAGATGTGAGTCGACGAACACCAAGTTTTGCTACTTCAACAACTACAGCCTCTCCCAGCCCCGTCATTTTTGCAAGACGTGCAAGCGGTACTGGACCCGAGGGGGCGCTCTGAGGAGCGTCCCCGTGGGGGGTGGGTGCAGAAGAAACAACAAAAGGAGCAGTAAAGGCGGGGGCGGCGGAGGAAGTAGTAATAGTAGTTGCTCGAAGTCTACTACTACTACTTCATCTGTCGGCAACGACCAACAGAGTAACATCTCTTGCGGTGGTCCTTCGATGAGCTCCGCCGCTTCCGCCGTCATCCTCGCGCCTCAGATTCATCACCACCTACCCTTCACCGCTCAGGTCTCCGACCATCACCGCTACCCCGGAATCTCTCACCCTCCGGTGGATGCAGGTGAGAACATGATGATGACCCTCCACCTCGGAGGCGGCGGTGGCGGGGAGAATTACAATAATCTACTGTCCGGAGGCGTCGCGCCACTCTTGTCGTCAGCTGGCGGCATTCAGCAACCGCCGTCGCAGTTCTCATTCTTCGACCCTCTCTTCAACTTCCATCAAGCGGGATTCGAGTTGTCTTTGCCATCCGGCTTCACGGGCGGCGCGGGCTTCAGGCCGCGGGTCCCGCCCTCGACGTTCGTTCAACCCGCTACTGCGGCGCCCGTGAAGACGGAAGACGGGGACAACTGCTACCGCAACTACCACAACAACATGATGATGGTGAGCAACAACCCTAACAACAACAATGTGGGAGTTGGATTGAACTCCATTGTTATCAACTCTACTGGAAATAATGAGCAGTGGTGTAATTGGAGTGACATTAATTCTGCTAGTTTCAGTTCTTCTTCAACAAGCGACAATCACTTGTAAAACCACACATATATTGATGGTGAGCTAGAGGCCAATTATCCATTATAACTTTCTGTGTACATTAAGAATCAAACGAATATGGACATAACGTACGTCCACATTCTTTAGATTTTTAATGTACGTAAAAAGTTATAATGTGTACGTAGACAGTTATTCAAGAGCGAAAAACACATCCTTTAGTTAGCGTTTTAGAACGTTTAATTAGTGTCTCATTTTGCCAATTAGCGCGGGCTATCAGGCAGCGACACTAATTAAAAATGGTTAATTTTTATTAATAGTGTTAATTAGCCTCAACTTAATGTTACTTGCGTTTCTTTGATCCATATTTTTTACCATTATATTGTTCGTGAGATACAGATGTGTTTGGATTATTAATATATACTAACGTAGTGTGTGTGTGTGTGTATTTGTATTTCTTTATTTATATAAATGAATTTTTCGCAACTTTTGTTTTATGTTAGGACACTAGTGCCTTAAAAGATGGTCCCTAATAGGCAATGCCCACACAAATCCGAACACACAAACTCTAAGGAATATACTAAAAATGTAGGGGTGGACACGGTACCGGTACGGTACCGTGACCGGAAACGGTACCGCCGGTACTGAGCACCGTCACCGTCGACCGGGACGGACAACCGGTACCGGTACCGCCCCATCCGGTACCAGTTCCGGTGCCCCAATTTCGTTACCGGCACCGCCGGTACCGGTTCCGGTGCCAGTTTTTTTTTTCTCTTTTGCTCCAACGGATACCTGGTGCACCTGCAAAAAAACCAGAGGTCAGTGGGGGGGGGGGCGGCCTCAACGGCTCTTGCAAATCAAAAAAAAGTTTTAAAGGAATAGTCGGTGGGCTTCTTGCAAAGAAAAGGAAGCGTGCTCAGCCTTCAACGAGTTCAAGTGGTACAACAGTAAGCTCGCACAACGAACTTGCGATATACCAAGGGGTTCCATGCGATTACGACGAGGACGACGTGGAGTTTGACGTCCTCGGATGGTGGAAGCGGAACGAACACATGTTCCCATGTCTTGGAAAGCTAGCAAGACAAGTGTTGTCCGTCCCGGTATCAACCGTAGCTGTGCAACAAGAATTCAGCGCTGACGGCAACATTCTAACCGACTTTCGAAGTTGTCTTAACGCTGAATCTCTTGAAACACTTGTTTGCAACCAAGATTGGCTCTTGGCAAGACGTCGAGCTCAAGAATCAGGGTACGAATTCAATTCGGAGCATTACATGAATGCAACCACATATGGAAGTCCGAGTTCTGAGGAATAAGTTATAAACTTTTTTTATGTTAATTTAAATATGTAATTAGTTTTTTATGTGAGCGGTATATAAGCTCCTTCGAGGGTTTCTTTACGGTTCTTTACCTCGTCACTTTTTTTGAACCGTCAGGATATTAAATGTAGTTGTTCTTCAGTTCGTGTATTACTCATTTTACAATATTTAAATAACAACTACATTTTTAGATTTTTTATTTCAATCTTTCCTTTAACAATTGCAAATTTACAATTTTAAACTTTAAAAATTTTAAAAAAAGCAAAAAATAATAATTTGGGGGTGGCCGAAACCGGCCAGTCCGGTACCGGAACCGCCGGTCCGGTCACGGTACCGGTACCTAGGGGTGGCGGTACCGGAACCGGCGGTTCCGGAACCAGAACCGGCCCGGAACCGTACCGTGTCCACCCCTATAAAAATGTGAACAATTTTTTGAAAATCAATTAATTACGGAGTTAAAGTTACATATTTCCTTCGTCCCTAAATATTTACCACATTTCTAAAAATAAGACAAAGTATCAATTTTTTATTCATTTTATTTAAATAGTGGTATAGAAATAAAAAATACAATTTACATATTTAAAAACAACATGAAGATTTCTTCAAAATAAGAGGTGTCAAAAATATTTTATTTATCAAATAACCAATGAAAACACACAAATAAACAAAAGTTCCCGCGACTGTTCAAAAATTTGGGACGGAGGAAGTATTTTTTAACACTAATAACTCTAATATAATGTAGCATCCATTCATACATTCTCAAATCCTTAAGTACGTAGAGTTATTAAGTGTTCCACTGATCGAATTTGTGACATTCTATACGGGAAAGTCACCATCATGCCGCTGGACCACAAGGTTTTAATTAGCAGTAAGCTACATATTAGTAACAAAATGATGAACTTCTCCACTGGCTTGCGGGGTATGAAGCGTATTCCCCAGGATTCTCAAGAAAGTTTACTTTAGTTCGAGTCCCAGCGGAAACAGCGGGAGGCGTTGGCTCTGTGTGAGTCATTAATTAATTAGGTTGAGGAAAGTATGAACATATACTACATTATATTGTAATATAGTCTATAACATTAAAAAAGTAAAAACAAATGATTTCATTGATTTTTCATTGTATTAACAAATGATTTCATTGGAAAAATCATTATGTTCTAGTTCTATTTAGGTAAATTTCTCTAATACATATACTCAATCTGTGCCATAAAAATGTTCATGTGTCATTTTTTGCGCATCATGCAATTTTTTATTGGATCAATTGATGAATAATTGGAGAATCACGAAAAATTTGTGATAAAATTTAGGATGAGGTATGGATCATATGGATTAAGCAATAAAACATTTAGGCTAAACCACGCATTAAAAGATTGAATCCAACTAATTATTTAGTTCAAGCCAATAATTTATATATCGATTTATTTTTTCTTCAAATTTGGAAGTGAGTCATCTCAAACAATGTAGATATAATAATATTAAAAGTATGGAGATGACGAGGACGTACTTTAATAAGAATTGTGTGGGTTTTTGAACCCATTGTTGGGCAAGATTCTAGCAAGGCAAAGACCAAATTTTGAGTGAGTCAAAAAGATTATATTATGGCACTCATCAAAGAAGAATCAAAACACATTCTGAGATTACAGACTGCAGCTAGGTAGGAACCAAAAGCAAAGGCACCCTAGCTAGCTAGCTAGGCACAGTGATGATGGCCACTTCAAAGAGAGGTCCTACACCCATAGGATCTCCAAAATTGTAGGGCCCTATGCCCTATGCCCTATAATTGTGGGTCCACGTCCACCAGTACGGTACGCAGGCGCTACGTGCCACTGTACCATTTTTAAAAAAACAAATTCTTACTTACGTGGAACTAAAGCCCATATTGTATTTGGTCAACCATCATATATATCCTAGATTAACATTTCTCAAAAATAAAGAAATTTATGTGAGAAGGTCGATGTAGACCTTAAGTCCACCACATAATCTCTCTTTAAAAAGTTAAATGATACGGAGTATTATTGTTTTTTGGAACTAAATGAGTACAACATATGGTATTTTCTTTGTTTGACTTTCACATATTTTTGAAAGACAGACTACTATGTAAAAAATAAAAGTCTTAGAAGGAACAAAAAGAAAAAGAGTATACTCCTTATTTTTTTTAGGTCCATGGTGTACCTCCACATGAAGCAAATAAAAATTTTGCTTAATAATGTTGAGAATCCCTTGAGATAAGCATTTTTATTTTAATTTTTTAAAAAATTAAAAAAGTATATTTTTGTGTGAAGATCCATAAAATTTTTGTGGACCTTAGGTGCAGCAAATAAACACCCTTACGAAGATTTAATTTATTTAATCCAACATTGACCACTGGGTTCACTTGGAGTCTTTAGGACACATAGCCAATCACATATACTTCCAACATTGTTCTCGTTAGATGAGAATAAAGAATAAGTCATTTTGAATATTTTAGTCCATTATTATAAGTATAATTTTGTTATTATTGGAATATCTCTATGGATCATGATTGATTTCTAGTGGGAAAAAGGTTAGGGTTTCTTCAAAAAGAAGTTTCTTCAATAAAATTTATTAAACCTTTAGCTATGTGTGGGAATACAATTCAAATTCAAAAAGGAAATATTTGGTCAACAGCAGTACAACACTCTTGTTAGTTGTTACATCATGCATGGATAAACCCAAAAAATAAAAGAAAAGAAAAAAAAATAGTGGTATCTTAATTCTTACATTCCTTATTTACAAAAACTTCTTTCTATAACTAAGGCCCTTTTTATCATAGATTTTTTTATGTTTTGAAATTATACTTTTATGTAAGTTGTACTTTCTTGAAATACATAAAATTTTGCATGTTCAAAAGTGGGGGATTTTTGGGAACAAAACGAGTATTTGTTTTGAGAAAATAAATTAAACAATAAATAAAACTTATTGGAAGTATTTTCAAAAAATTAAATTTATGTTATTTGTAGAATAAGTGACCATTCAAATAAAAATAAAAATGTGTAATGCTTGCATGTTGAATTATAGTACCTTCTTCATCCCTAAGAAAACTTCATACAGAGTATTTTTTAGATTCAAAAATAAGGTTTGCGATTGGAATCTGCACCCAAAGACCTTATTGGAGTGTTTGGAAATTAGAATTTATTTGAAATCTTAGATTTTAATTTCAATTTTCAAAATCTCATAATTTCAAATTCCAAATATTATTTGAGAAGTAGGGGTAGGCACGGATCGTGACGGTCCGGATTTTAGGTTGTCCACCGTCTTGCCCCGTTTTATATAAACGAACCGGAACGGTTCAGATTACAATCTTATCCCGACTTGTCCCACAAAATTCAGGATCGGAATAAACCGGGACGGATTCGGGACGTCCTACTTTGTCCTAATCGCAAATATAAGAAGGGGGAGAAGGTGACATTTCATTCAAAAAAAGAAACATCTAGTCATCCAATTAAAAAATAATAAGTGAAACGGAACCAAATAAATTTAATAAAGTTTGGGCTGAAACCTCAAGCCTATGAAGTTCACTTAATTAATTAATTAAAGGATGAACGTGGTTAGATTTTGGATTAGAATTAGTATTATACTCCCAAGTCCCCAGTTTGATTACAAATTGCAGGTTACGGAATAAAATTTCCTACTTTTTGATATTATTTTATTTACAAATTGGTATATCAATAAACTATAAAAATTACAGTATATCTTAAAAAACTACGTCAAAAGTTCTACAAAACAAGAGGTGACAAGAATATTTTATTTTATCAAATACTTAATGAAATCGCCTAAACAAACAAAAGTTATCGAGAAGAGAGAAAAAAATTGCAATCTATTTAGGGACGGAGGGAGTATATTAGTAGAGTAGATGAAACGGGACAAACGGGATGGATCGGTATAAATTTAAGTTGTCCCGCTCATGTCCCATTTTATATTGGGACGGAACGGGTTCAGGATAAAAGAAATGTGTCCCAGTTTATCGGTACAATTACAAAACGGATCCCAAATTTTTCAGAATGGTCCAACGGGAACGGATTACGCGCCCACCCCTATTGAGAAGTCATAAAATTTCATTTCTAGAATTTCAATTTTGAAATCGACAAAAAATGATAACGGAAGCCGGTTGATATGTATGGAATTGTTGTTGCATAGAGGAAGATCACTCTTTAATCTCAAGTTATAAATTAAAGAGAAGTTAAGCTTGAATTTGTAAATGACATGAGGAGAGATGTGAGTCTGTAATTGGCCTAATTTTGAATTAGAAGCTAAATCCATATTCTTTAAATTTCCAAACAAGTAGGATCAAATCCAGATTTAAAATCCAAATTCAAGTTTCCTAACACACCATATAAGAATTTGCCCCACGATCATTAAGATATCAAATTGCTTTCAACATATGGCTAAAAAGGGGGGAAATGATTATTCAACTAATTTTTACTTTTTCCAAACCCTGAAACTCCATAGAGAGGGTTTAAATATGACAAAAGCTAAAAATAATTGGTTGCAAACGCTCAAATTCACTCAAACGAAATTGATTAGAAACATCTACTATTATTATTAGAAAAACTTACCTAAATAGTCATGCTGTTTTGAACAGCCAATGGATTATATACAGCCAAATAATTTATAAACCCATGCTCAAAAGAATTAGAATTGAAGACAATAATTTTAATTCTACTCTTTAGTGGTGCAAGAATATGTGAATTTTAAATCGATAGTGTCAAAAATGAATTGAAATTGGAGAATTCAATTTTATCCAAATTAATTCCACAATTTTCAACTATTAATTCAATTCAAATTCTGTCAATTTTGTATACCCAACGAGCCTAAGAGTATTCGAGTAATCCTCTCTCAACACAATGGATGTTTGGAGTCATCTCATATTCTCACATGAGTGGATGGCTAGAAAATTGGGAGCAAATTATCGCACACTAGAAGAAAAAGGAATAAAATATCAAAATATAGAATTCAACTCAACTCCATTAGTATGAGACCAAAAAGAAAAGGCGAGACAACAGCCAAAAATAAATTCATGGGTACAAATTTTGGAGTAAGATATTGTAGTCAAAACATGGAACAAGTTGTGCTATAATAAAATGACTTATCTCCATAATCTAGCTTTAAATAAGGGGCATTGTTTTCTAAAATATAAGGATAATTAGGGGGGGGGGGGAATGGAGGAATAATCAAGTAGGATTTTCTTGGTTTTCAAAGACAAGCTTCAATTCTATTTATGGTTTTGCTAACACTATGTTTGGTTAAATAAGAATTTGAAAGAGAAGAAATAGAAGTAGAAGATTATTATTTTTTGTTTGGGTAGAGAAGTAAAAAAAGAGAAAACAAAATGTACTAATAGGATAGAAAATCAAGTTCCTCCTATTTTGCGGAGGAAAATGATAGAAAATTATTATTTTCATTTTCCTTTCAAATTCCTTGAACCAACCATAGTGTAAAAGATGTAAGTCAAGCCCTATGGTTTGTATGGTCGACCTAAACAAAAACTCTTGAGTGAGCTAATCATGTGTGCAGAGTTTGTATGTTATGCTCCCTCTCCATCTCCAAACAATTAAACTCGCACACTTACCATTCCCATTTTAACAAAACTTGTAAAATATACGTGGTTTAAATTTTATTTTGAATTTTTAAGCCAACAATTAAATAAACGAAACCAACCAACGACCCAATAGGATGCCCACAAAAGTAAGGTCTGGGACGTAGACTTTTACCTATGCTCAAAAGTACGGGTTGCTTCTAAGAAACCTTAGCTCGAGCATCACATATGCACATAACATGAACACATGCATAAGCAAATGGAAAAGTAAGGATAAAGAAAAGCAAACAAAACGAATTGATAACAATTTTGATCGAACTTCTGTTTTAAGCGCGTGTCAAGTTTATTTGGATCGGAGACGGAGGGAGTATATATATTCCGGATGTACTTCGAGCACGACACACTATCGTTTTTGGGTGTGGGATTACTCGAATCCGAAAGACCGTCGACTACTATTGTCAGACACCGACCCAGCCAAACATGACCATTATATACTTCATCATTTACACTACTACATTCATGAATTTATATGCACAAATTTACCCAAGCAGTAATAAAAGAAGCATATTGGCAAATTAAATGCAAATGCGGTTATAAAATATAAAACCACAATCACAATAGCCCTCCAAAAAGGGCAGCAAATGAAGAGTGAGCTGACCTCATGTGGGCATAGCATTCATTGCCGGTTCCGAAGTGGCTTAAGCAGGACCAGCAAACGTGCCTCCCGCACTTGCACGAGATATGGTCGCAACCATCCACCTTTTCAATAATGAACCCGCAACCCGGGCAGGCTTTCACATTTGCCCTCTCCCCGCACCACTGCTTAAGAGAGGAATCCGGGTCATCTTTGAACTCGCGGTACTTCTCGCACGACAGGAAAGGATGATACTCCAGGTGGCATTGCGTGCATGTCTCCACAAAGCATGCTCCACATACAAACAGCGAATCAGCTGGAGCAGAAGAAGAAGACGACGAAGGGCCAGAAATGGCTGCTGCATAAATTGAAGGACAGTCAGGTGATGGGCAGAACCTGTAGGTGCCACCACTACCTGCAACATATGCATCCAAGGAAGCCTTAACGAGTTCATCATATTTTTTCCCCCTGGGAGAAGATAGCAATGACCTGAAATCAGAGAGCAAGATAGGAGATCCACAACCTTCTTTGGAACACCGTAATGGGAAACTGTCACGAGTTCTTATGGCAGAGTCGATTTGCTCGCTCAAACATGAACGGCAGAACTGGTGACAACAGTCTTCGAGCATGTAAGGGTCCTCAAGTTCACAAAAGCAAATGGGACATGAGGAATCATCGTTGTCTTCGTCGTTCTTGGGACTTGTCTGGGCAAGACTGTGAATCATCTCCTCAACTCTTTGTTTTGATTCTATTGTACCTATGATAGATATACTGTGACGTCTTGTATTTAGGGACAGCCCTGCCTCGGGCACCTTCTGCTTGAGCCCGCCAAGGTCTGCTCCGAAATGCTGAACAACTCTCTTCATCATATCGGGCGGTAAAATCCCATCGCGAAGTTGAATCTCAAGCTGATTGTTTTGGTGCAAGGCAAGGAGGGCTTTGACAAGGCTTTCTTCTGCACTTTGGATGTTTTCCTGAGAGCCATAGACTCTTAGGATCATTCTATGCTTATCAAAGATAATATGGGTTCCTGTCTCTCGCTGAATGGATTCCATAAGCAGAACTCCTTTTCTTGAAAAGAGAATCTGAAGGATGGGAGGAGTGATGCCGGGATGATGAATGACTGTCCCTTCCATCAGCTGCTGCAGAGGTTTTCTCAACTCTGCCACTGTTTTCATAGTACCAGCCGTTATCTTCACTCGATAAGAACAAAGTTTGCTTGCTTCATTGGAGATAGCCTCTAGGTTACATTCTACACCTGTAAAAGAATTAAAGAAAGAAATCTTAGCCCAGTCCCCCGTGGTCAGGAACCACATTAGTTAACATCATAAAAAGGGTTTTTGTGTTTTTTACCTTGTTAGAATTCAGGGACGAGTTGGGGTCACACTCAAACAAGATGTAAGACACTAGGTCAAAACCACACTTAAAGATCAAATTCAATCTATTACCTAGTTCAAGTAATAATTTATTAGGATATAATGCATTTTAAGTATTCGGGTATGGAGCATGGAATGAATGTATCCACATATCATCATGACGACTCATTTCATGTGACAAAATTCAGCTACTCGTATTATATACTCCCTCCACCCCGTAAAGATCATATTTTGACTCCGTAGAGTTCAAGAAAAGTGAAAAGTGGGTGGTTAGAATTTGGAAGAAATATTGTCAACCACTTGTTCATTTTTTAAAAGAAAATAGTAAAATGGTGAACTTTTTTTGGGACAATCCAATAGAGAAAGTGTGAAATTCTTTGTGGGAAAGAGGAACTATGCTGTATTATCAGATTAACTGTGAAAACCAAGAGCACCAAACCATTCCCATTTCTGCTGCTCCAAGAAGTATATAATGTGAAAACTTGCACATGTCACGATGATTCACTTCATGTTAACTAGTTTATGCCCAATATTGGTATAATATCACGTTAACCATGAAGGCCAAGAGAAAGAAAGAAAATAGCTTCTGCTGCACTTTAAAATACGGAGTATACTACAGTATACAGTTTGCAACTTTGCTAATGAAAAACAGAATACCTTTCTCTTGCCGAAGACTTGCAAGCAAAGAATCAAGCTGATTCCTGATAACAGGATAGACATGTGCTGGACATGACACGGAGCTATGAAACATTTGCTGACAATGAATTTTCTGCCACGAGAGACAACCGGGTAAAACTTTCCTGTCAATTTGCTCCAGGGCTCTAGCTGCATCCAAATGCAAATCTCTATCAAAAGTAATTGTGGCTCTCATTAAATTGTCTTTTGGGCTTGGTTTGAGCACGTGGACACGAACACCATCACCCTGTGAGTTCCTTCCAGGCATAAAGGGAGAAATTGCTTGTATAATTGCTGCTCCACAATTTGCATGAGGAAGACTGTCTACTGCATCGCCTCTCACCACAAAAAACTCTTTAATTTGCAAGTTTGTCGAGCCGTGTAGCACCTGAGATATATCATCTTCAAAAAGATTCACATCAAGCCCTGTGATAACAACACTGCCTGCAGACTTTGTGCCTGCTTTACACCGAACTAGCCTGCCACCAAGTACTACTGTGGAGAGGTGTGAAACCATTAAAGCAACATCATTTGGATCACACTTCACAATTGCAACCCCTTTGCTGCACCGACGAGGCCATGATATTTTGGCTTTGATAGAAGAAGATGATGATGACGCCTTTGTGTGAGAATTGCCATCATATGTGTTTTTAGAAGGAACTACCTTAAGAATCCCACCGTTGAACTCAGACTGATCTAACTCAACGGCCATCGTAGCAGCCTCAGGTGTGGAAAATGTCACCTTTCCCCACTTGTCCTCTTTATCTAAATACTTGCTAATGCCGCAAATATGGCCAAGGGTATATCCCTCCAGAAATTCCACGAGCTCTCTTTCATCGAGGGCATTGATGTTTGAATGGAATATGTCAACAGACAAATATCTCTTCTTCAGCTCCAGGTGTTTTATCTCAGCACCGGACCCAAAGAGAGAAAATGAAGGTAGGACCGTCGGACCTGCATTATATAAAGGTTGTTCCGAGCACTCATTCCGCAACAACTTCTTCTCATGGTCCAAAGCTCCCTGTACTAAACTGCACACTTTCTCCATGTCTTGTAAAGATGCGTACAGGAGCAACTCATTATGATCAAAATTGACCTCCACAACTATGCGTTCATCCCCACATGATTCTCTAATGTTTGAAAGAAGTAGGCATAAATTCCAATTTGATTTTCCATAGAACCTTTTCAACAGAGCATTGCCGAACCCCGTCAATTTCCTCATCTGCAGTTGTCGGCGGTACATGTTTAAGAAATCAAATGCTGGGGGAGGAGAAAGGGCTGAGAAATGTTCAAAATCACATTCAGTGACACAAACCAGATAATCTTTGGATCCTGAAATTATTTCCCGAAAAACCACCCAAGCTGGCCTCTGACCAAAGTTAAGCAAAGAACAAGAAGGATGCAGTTGTGCATGTTTCCTTGTTAATGCCACTTCATACCCAAGTTGTTCATAGCCTGAGAACATTGCCACATTTTCGGGCAGAGAAGAAAGTATTGTGTTTTTCAAGTTATCATCATGCTCGGTATACATCGAGGGATTCCAATGCCAATCACTTGACACAATGATATCCATTTGATTTTTCAAGCAAGCCTCTAGCTCTTTTACAGTGTCATGGCATCTTCTCATAGTCTTCGCATTGATACTATTCTCCCAACACCACTGGTTTTTCTTTCCGTGGGGTACTGTCTCCCACTCCTTATAAACTGCAAGCAATGTGAAGAGATCACCCTTGGGATGGCAAAATTGCACCTTAAGACAATCAGATTTCAGCTTATCTTCCACAGTACCAACTCTACAAAATATGCTACTGGAATTTGTCATTACTGCAGCAAGAACAAGACCCTCCTTACCCAATCGCTGGAGCAAACACTGTAAAATTATTTTCCCCAATACGGGCTCAACACCCAGTTTGACCATCTTGCTGCCATCGACAGTTAATTCAAAAATGTCATTTCTCACTGCTATAGCTCCTAGCTGAACAAGATTTCTGAGTGCCATATCTATAGCTTTAGAACTAGGCGCATTGACGAAGTCAAAATCCTGCACATCCTTAATTCCCAAAGCAACAATTCTAAGAACTGCCATGCCAAGATGGACCTTACGGATTTCAGGTTCTTGATGAGGCAGCATTGACTGAAAATCATTTTCATAGTAGAGTCTGTAACATGTACCAGGTTCAGTCCTCCCAGCACGACCCGCCCGTTGATTAGCAGAGCTCTGGCTGATCCTGCAAACCTTGAGCACATTCATTCCAGTAGAAGGTTCATACACACTCTCTTTTACCACTCCAGAATCAACCACAAATTTCACACCCGGAATTGTCAAAGATGTCTCGGCGATATTAGTGGCAAATATAACTTTTCGTTTCCCAGGATAGGTCAGAAATACTCGATGTTGGTCTTTTGAAGAGAGCTTTCCATGCAAGGGAAAAGCAATGGCAGAAACAGCTTGAAATTTTTCACAAGCCCATTCTACTTCCACCTGAGAGGTTAAGAATGCAAGGATAGTACCTTCCCCCTCAATTCTGTTAATCTCCATTACCATATTCAAGACATCAATGACATATGAAGGCATTAAACTGAAAACCATTTAGATTCACTAACTCCATACTTTATATCAACAGGGAAGCTTCTACCGGCCACATGCAAAGTTTTAGAACCAAAAAAGTAGTCTGAAAATTGGTCTGCATCCACAGTTGCAGACATGATGATGAGTTTGAGTCGTGGCCTCTGAAACAGTAAATTCTTGATCAATGCCAGAAGGAGATCTGTGTTTAAACTTCTTTCATGAGCCTCGTCAACAATAATACATGAGGCCCTGGATAGTTGCTTATCACTCATATAGTGCTGCAGAAGGCAGTGATCCGTCATAAAAATAACCTTTGGTTCAATCCCCCAACCAGATGAATATGATGGACAACAGACAACAGAAGTATCATCATAGCAACCACAGCTCTCTTCTTTAACCCTCTCTGCCAATGAGATGGCAGCAAGTTTACGTGGCTGTGTACAAATGATCGATCCATTGCAAGTAAATCCAGAGTCACAAAGATACTGAACCAGTTGTGTGCTCTTTCCTGAACCAGTTTCACCTATCAATACAGTAACCTGTGAAAGATCACCCCTGTGTTAATATATACCCAATAAAACACTAAACAGTCAGACACATGCTATGAAGCACAGGCTTTTTTCTGAAAAATGAAGTATGCATATCAAAAACACCTGGGAAACGAACAAACTACAGCTTTAACGAGCAAAGGCTAATTCCAGTAGCTAAACAAAAATATGAGATGACAACAAATGAACCGCATATTTCATAAAATATGACCAACGCAAAGGCTAGTTCCAGTAGCTAAACAAAAATGGTGAACACTAAACACACAAGCTAAGTCCGGTCGAATTAGCTTGTGTTCAAGATTATGAGATGACAACAAATGAACCGCATATTCCATTTCTATTTAAGTATTGGAATGCTTAACATCAAAACACTTAACCAATAGTAAAAAAAATTGAGTTTGACAAAGGAAACCTGCTGGCTTTGTATTTGATTCAAGATTTCTTGTCTATGGGCATAAATGGGCAGTCCATCATCAAGCCTTCTGCATTCCCTCAGCATCAACATATAAATCCTCTCCCAGCTCATCTCCCCGTCAAGAAATTGAATCACGGGAACACCACAATCTCCACTAGCGTATGCACTCTCCAGATAATCTTCAATACACTTGATCCCTCTCTGGAATTCCTGCATCCTGTTAAGCATCAAACTCGCCTCTGCCTGCAAACCTTTCCTCCTCCTCAACAGCTCATCCGCTGCGCCCAAACTCTGTGGCTTCTTCAACAAATTCGAAACCGTCTTCGTCTCGTCTGTCAAATCCCCCAATTTCTTCAGCCACTTCACCACCAAATCCCCCTCTTTCAACCACTCCAACCTCTCCAAAAAAACAAGCCTCAATTGATCGTTCAAGTCCGAAGAATAATCAGAATGCATCCGGCCATTGCAGACAACCGCAGGCAAAAAGCTAGTACTAATTCCTTCACCATTCAATTTCATCTCCCACAACCGAACCACTGTATCCACGGCATCACTCCAATACTCGAACCAAAGCGCAGCCAAAATAGACTTAGACGGGACAAAGCTTGACCTCTGAGGTTTTACCCCAAGTTTCCGAACCAGAGCCTCAACATCGGCCGCACTCACTGCCCGTTGCCCGCTGGATTGGAGCTCGACGATGAAATTGAGCGGGCGAGGAGGCCAATCTGATTCCCATCCGTTATGCGGATGCGGACGATGGCGGAATGGAGGGCCGTGGTTGCTGCGGCTGGGATGATCAACGGGCCGACGGCGGCCACCCGGGGCGGTACTGATCGGGCGGTGCATTCTGCATGTGTTGATTGTAGAAGCGTGTTCAGAGAGTAAAGAAGATACAGAGAGTCATGGCGGAGGAAGGAGTTGGAGAAATCGAGAATGGCGGGGTCTGCGTTTCAGTAGGACGACTTGACGGTTGGGGGAAGACGAGCCGGCGCGAGGATGAATTAGCTCATTTCCCGAAGCAACAAAACGAAATGGAGAATGCTAAAGAGGCACCCAATATATTTAATTTTTTTTTTAATTTTCCTTTTCTTAGTCTTTTCCCCTCCCACCTTCTTCCCCAAAATTCCCAAATCTCCCTTCTTTCACTTCAACCTCCACGAGTGACAGAATTCAGACAACTCCAATTCCACGTCCTTCTTCTCCGTCGAGAGCATGGCAGCGCCGGCAGCCCCACCCCTCCAGCTCCAGCGCCGGCAGGCCCACCCCTCTAGCTCCAGCTCTGGCAGCCCCACCCCTCCGAACAAGTAATGTATTTTTTTGGGGAAACACTTTAGATTTTGGATTAAGCTATATGTACATTTTTAGTGTAAATGTAGCATGGTCCTTAGCACGTACCCCACTTGTTATTGGACTCTGTGAAATAGGTTTGCTTGTTATTTCTGCTTACTGTGCGAATTGTATGGCATAGATGGTTAAGTTCTGTTATTTAAACTTCATATAACATTATTGTCTGTGAAAGAGGTCTGCTTGTTATTTTTGCTTGCTTTCTGTGAATTGTATCTCATAAACGATTAACTTCTGTTTATTGAACTTCATAAAACATTATTGTTTGTGAAAGAGGTTTGCTTGTTATTTTAATACTATTTTCCCTTACAGGTATGGCAATTGTGGAGTGATGGTGCTAGCATTTCTAGAGTATTTGTTGCTAGCCTTACCATTAAGCCCGGACTGCAGTTCTGAACACATTGCTGATTTCCGATGTCAATTTGCAGCTAGGTTATGGCGTGGAAGGAAAACAACCAATATTTAGTTTACAATTTTAGGGATCTTTAATTTTTGTGAAACTCTTTGTAATGGTTTTTGTGTTTTGTAATGTATTTTTTGGGGAAAACTTTAGATTTTTTTGAAAGCTTTGTAATGGGGCTTTTAGCATCATGAATTTCTGCTTGTTAATGAACAATCTGTTACTATGTGTTATGAATGATTTACCTTAGTTTATGACTGAATTACAAATTTAATTTCAGAGCCCTCACAGAGAATAACCGTCTATTTTACCTGTTACACAGAGCTTCAACGTATGTGACAGAGTTACATAATGTTATGCACTTCAGATTTTTTTGATTTTTTTGCAATGGGGCTTTTATCATCATGAATTTCTACTTGATAATGCACAATCTGTTACTGTGTGTGATGAATGATTTACCTTAGTTTATGATTGAATTACAGATTTACTTTCAGATCCCTCCCAGAGATTAACTGTCTATTTTACCCATTACACAGAGCTTTAATGTATGTGACGACAGAATTACTTAACGTTATGCACATACACCATCTTTGGAATCTCATCACATATCTGGGGGTCTTGTATAGCTAAAAACAAAGTTAAAACGCATACATTAGATTTCTTGGTGCTCACATGGAATAACTGTCTATGTCACAGACTTCACAGAGACTTAATGTATGTGAAGACAGAGTTACATCAGGTTTACATTAGTTTATGTGCAGGGAACTCAGAGAAAGTTATCATACTTGTTACATACTTTACACAAAAAGCAAAAAGCAAAAAGGGTGGAACACATCTTGTGTTTTGCTCTTTTTATTTCCTTGTCGACTACACACAAATGTAACACTTCTAGGAGTTCCATCTTTGNCTTTGCGAGTTGTCCTAGTCCGCATTGGAAATCCTACACTTCGAGCATAAACCAGATAGTGTTCTCGCCTGTTCTTGCCCTTCGTCGTTAAATAAATACTGAAAGCAAGGATTGTTTAGAAAAAAATCTGGTTCAAAAGTTGCAAAAAACAGTACCTTTAATATACTCCCTCCGTCCGGTATTAAAGTTTACGTTTTGACTTATTGTCATTTTTAGTGGGAGTTGACTAAGCACTTAGAATACCAAAAATACCCCTTTCTCCCCTTTTGCCTTTCCACCTGAACACGGAAAACAGCCCAGCTCAAAATCGGAAAACAGCTCAAAATTGGCTTTTACCCTTTCCTCCAAACCTGACGGCTCAAAATCTGAATCTATTTGGTTACCGGAATCGCCAGATCACCGCCGTGACCCGGGCCAGCGGTTTCCGGCGGGTTTTCCTCAATTCCGGCCACCTCCACCACCTCTGATGTCGCGTAACCCCACCAGGAACCATCAATTGCAAAGTTGAAGCCAATTTGAAGAAACCCCCAATTTCGGATCCTAGGGTTTTCCCGATCCTAAAATCTTCAATTAGTGAAGTTCAAGGCAAAATTGAAAAAAAAGGACTGGATATTCGTGATCCTCGGGCAAAAACGGTTCATTTGGCGTTGGTCCCGTCCGTTTCTGCTCAGGAGAAAGAAAAGAAGAAGAAAAGCAAGAGAAGAAGAAGAAGAAGAAGAAGAAGAAGAAGGGGAAGAAGAAGAGGAGGGAGGGGGAGAGTTCACAGATCGGGAGGATGGGAGAAAGAAAAAGAAAAAAAGGAACTAAGGAAGAAGAGGAGGAAGGGGGGGAGGGAGAGAGAAAATTGAAATGGTAGAGAAGGGTATTTTTGGAAGAGTGTGGGTTAAAATTAGAAATGTAAAGTTTATTTTCGGACGGAGAAAAAGGAGAAACGTAAACTTTATTTCCGGACGGAGGGAGTAATAAAATACCTGACTATGAAGAAAACAATAATACACCAAATGCAGAGTTCATACAGATAATTAGCGTCTGTGACAAGGACAAACCCTAGATTCATAGAACTTTAATCTCTGTAACAGGAAAACAAAACAGTTTTTTTTTCACTACTTCAAATAAATATAGAATGTGGTCTAAATATCAACACTTACAACTGGGCTGCAACTCATATAAAACCAGGTCTTCTTCTTCACCACCAAAATCATGTGGTTGCTCATTCTCAACATGTGTAACAATAGATGTTTGTAAGTCCATAATCACCAAATATCCTATGTACTCTACAAAAATTCAAAAAACTATTGCCATAGAAATTGACTAAAAATGGAATGAAGAGAAGAGATTGACAGAGGAATTGTCGTGCTACAGGGGTTGGCGCATCAGAGATATGAAGATGAAGATAAGAAAAAGAAGAGATTACCTGCCGGCTTGTAAGAAGAAGAGCGCATGAAAGGGAGAAGAGAGCGGGTCGCTGCCGCGGAAGAGCAGATCCAGAGCAACATAGAGGAAAGGAGAAAAAAAAGGAGAAAAGGTAAAAAAAAATACCTTAAATAGGGAGGCAGCAGAGGAGGCATGGGTGGGTGCACTGTAGCACGGTCCAAACGAAATAAAGATGCGTTTTTTTATGGGTCATGCTACACACTCGCACAAAAAATTATACCTCATTTGTACACCGCAGTTATACACAAACATTTTGATAGTTTACACTGACACAAGTGTTGGTGCGTTAACAAAAATTTATACAGACACAAAGTGTTGGTGCGTTAACAAAAATTAGTTTTACACCAACACAAAATGTTTATGAAAACCTGCGGTTTACAAAATGAGGTACAAAAATTTGGGGTACAAATAGCTCTATCCTTTTTTTATTTAAAAAAATAAAATAAAACTTGAAACGACCATTTTAAAAATTACTCCCTCCGTCCGAAAATGTTATTCCCATCTGACTTTTCACAGTCTCCAATATTGCTCTTTGACCATTAATATCTATATTTATACATAGATATATTTTATGAAATTTAATATTTGAAAACTACGTTTCATTATGAATATATTGATATTAAATTTACATCATAATACAATGTGTTTTTTCCATAAATTGTAGTCAAAGTTTATAAACTTTGTCCAAGAAACGTCAGATCTGAAGAACATTTTCGGACGGAGGGAGTACTCCGGTATAGGAAATACGACACAAAATTACTTCTGAAGACCCTTGATTTACCTATAATTACTTTGTGGTCCTACATCCTCTTATATATATATATATATATATATATATATATATATATATATATATATATATATATATATATATATATATATATATATATATATATATATATATATATATATATATATATATATATATATAGACACACACACACCAAGATACTCTCACAATTTTCTAGTAAAAACTCTCAGATCCTACATTATTCGAAATATATATTTTGGAGTCCTTAAAATTTGTGCTATTATACTCTGAGATTACGTTTTGTCCATTTAGGTGTTATGATTAAAAGTTTATTAACTTTGACAAATTGTATGATGTTATGTAAATTTAATAAAATAATGATTATCAAGTTAAAATTTAATATTGGTCAAAGTAACGGAAAATTCAATCCTAATAGTTAAATAGATGAAATATACTCTCGAAATACTTATCACTAATTTTAAAGACTCAAAAGTCGAGAGTATATTTCAGAGAGTTCTTACTAGAAATTTGAAAGTAGCATGGAATATATTACAGATAGTATGAAACTGGAGTTATCATCAGAAAATTGAGGATACTCGAAGTAATTTTATGGATATCTATGTATTAGTATTAGAAAAATAATATAGAGTATATGGTGTGATTTCAAGAAAAAAATTGTCATGAGCTGTCAAAATATATTTAGGGGCTGTTTGGCAACTTCTGAATGGGTAAGTGCTGAACCAGTAAGAGGTCTGAACCATTAAGTGCTGAACCAGTAAGAGGTCTGAACCATTAAGAGCTAGTATATTGCTTAACTATTCAGAGGCAAATGTCTGATCAATTCAGATAAGAGGTCTTAACCATTCAGACTCTGTATAATATTTAACCATTCAGAGGCAAATCTCTTAACCATTCAGACATTTGAACCATTAAGAGGCTGAAACAAACAGTCTGAACCATTAAGTGCTGAACCATTCAGACATCTGAACCATTAAGAGGCTGAAACAAACAGCCCCTTAGTATCGTTTCAAAGAAAAGATTGTTGTAAAAAAATTGTGGCGCAAATTTTTTGATAGTTCATTCTACGTAGTAATTATTTTTTGCAATATAAAAAATAGCATTACTTTGACCACTTTTAGTTTTAAAATGTTGTTTCATGAAAATTTTTAAATGAATTATCATGAAAATAATTTTTTCCTAAAATGGAACTAGAACTTTGTGACAATGCAATACATATTTTTGGTACTATGTTCAAACTTTTTTCAAAAGCTAAACTGTAAATTATTTTTCTGATAATCATTGGAGTTTTTTACTAAATATCTTCTTGAGATATTTTTCGAAAGTGGGCACTAGAAATTACTTTTTTCTGATAATCCAGTAATCTTCTTAAAATTACTCTTCGAATATTTTTTAAATTTGAAATATTAGCTTTAAAATTTTAATAGTACGCTCTTGTCAGATAAATATTCCTCAAGTGAGATGATTTTGGGATAAAATTTTCCTATTTTTCGAGTAAGGAAGCCACTTCAAACTTTATCACATCATTATAAAGCGTCTAAAATGACACCAGTTACTTATACATCAGTCGCTTACACCAGTTCGTTTGGGGTGTCTACAGTGTCCCGTTTGTAAAAATGACGGTTCCTACCCACCTAACTCTCCCCCTAAACCCCCCACCCCAGCCCCACCCTTGCCCCCCTACCCCAGCCCCCCCTCCCTACCCTGGCAGTACACTGCCAGGGTAGGGAGGGGGACTGGGGTAGGGGGGCAAGGGTGGGGCTGGGGTGGGGGGTTTAGGGGGAGGGTTAGGGGGGTAGGAACCGTCATTTTTACAAACGGGACACCGTAGATACCCCAAACGAACTGGTGTAAGCAATTGATACCAGTAGCACTGATGTCATTTTAGACTTACTCTTCATTATAAAACATTGTTCTCTACTATTTTATGTGAAACAATACTCCAAATTACTTTTGCAATAATAAATTAGGGAATAATATTTCTTTTTTTTCCTAAAATTACACTACAAAAATTATTCGCTCCGTCTCCAATTTTATCACATATTAAAATTTACGAGAAAAAATATGTTACTTTTTGAAATCATATTAAAAAACTATTTAGATATTTAAAAACTATTTGAAAGTCCTACAAATACAAAAAATTTGGTTGTTTAGTCCTCTCTTGCGGTACAAAGTTGCTGAACTTGTCTCCGGCGAGGTCTTCCATATCTATGGCGGCCAATATCGGTGCCAACGCCGCCGCTGCAGTGTCTCTTGCGGTTGACGATCACCACTTCCCCGCCGCCGACCCTACATCTGATCAAGACCGAAAGGGCGAGACTGTACAAGGCCAGTTCCCTAGATCCCAAATTTTGAGTATCTGTGAATGGTTTCTTCTTCTTCTTCTTTTATATAATTCACATAGGATGATTCCACCTCATTACGTGTAAGAATATTTTGGAATTCTATAGTACATTAGTTAATTTGCTTTTTCCTATTTGAAATTTTCAAATATGTTTCATAGTTCTTTTTTTTTAAATATATATTTTAAAAATCAAAAGAATGAGATTAGCTGCTTAATGAAGTTTATTGATATGGTTTATAAATGGAAATGGAGCTAAAAGAGTTGGTATTGATAATGTTTTAGTTTGGTGCACATAATGCACTAAAACAAAGTAAACTTCTATTGAATCCCAATTTCTATGAAGTTTTGGGCTGTAAATGGAGCAATGCATCTATGGTCTAACAAAAATAGCCTATTTGTTTTCGGTGATACTGCATATTTCTTGACTCCAGACCCCAATAGTGTTGGGATTATACTAGGTTGTTGCTGTTGTATAAAAAAGTTCAATTTTTTCTTCATATAGTTCTTAGTTTCTGAATTTCGCGTGGCTTTATTGTGGAATTCTTGAGCATTAGTTTGAGCTTGCAATGATTATAAGTTCCGAGATTAGCCCTATACAAATGGATGTTGCTGTTTGGAGACTAAAACCAGAATTAACTTCATGTGATGGTGTGATCAAATACAAGTAAATTCAGGAAACTGCAGAGTTTCTAAAAATTCCACAATGCGTTGTAGGGGGGATCCAAGATTCAAGTTTCAAAAATTAGTAAAAGATTGGATGTTGTTAACCGCATATGAATTTTTTGTTGAAATGTGCCTCAATGGTCTCTCCATGAACAGTAATGTAACTCTTTGTCGAATATAGTATGAGGCAAAAAAAATCCAAATTAGGACACAAGTAATTTCTTGGAATAGTGGAATTCTTGGGATAAGCTTCTTATCCCATACTCCAATGGCTTTCTTATATAAGGAGTATGTTAGTGAAACTAGTCCTTGGGGTGTTGTTTTCTTCTATATTTAATTGTCTTTTTTTAAAAACTTTTATCCTTCTTTTAAAGAACCTTAAACGTAAGGCTCGTAATTGCATCAGTTGTATGACCATTATTTTTTGTGTTTATAACTTCAGTCTCCAAAACTCTGTGTAGTTAGATTTGTTTACATTTATCAAATTTTAAAGGATACCGATATGTCAGTCATCTTTTCACCTTCAAGTGGTTGTTTTGTTTTGGCATTCTATCCACTCTCCTAAGGTTTAGATTACAGGTTGTGAAGATGTAGGTACTAAGTACTTGAAATTTGTAAATTTTTTTCCTGTTTCTCTTCAAAAGAGATGGATATTACACTCTAGCTTTTGTTCTTTTGCTAGTTACAAAGAAATATAGAAAGCAAATGCTGCACGTAACTCTTTGCTTCGAAATGTGGATTTTTTTTGTTTACTTAGGTCGAAGATATTGACATTTAAACTTTACATGGCTATGTCTTTAGCTCTCAAATCTGAGGTCATGGCTACACTTAATGAAGTGGTTAAGTCCCTGGATGAAGATAGCTGGATGTTTGATGGGCCTCGATCTCGTATACACCTTATTTCAAGGCCAGGTAAATTCTTTATTCTAACAAATGTGTCCCGGTACAGTTTGGGTACTATCAACAACAACAAACATTGTCGAATCCCAAAAAAATAGGGTATAGGGTGGGACAGAGGGTGTGTGTACGCAGACCTTAACCCTACTTGGAAGTATTGGAAGTAGAGAAGTTATTCCCAAGTGAAAATTTGGGTACTAGAAGTTTATAATTTTCTTGTCTCTTTTTTGTGATATAGATCGATGAGTTGTTTTGGGTTTTAAATTATCCAAAAGAAGAAAGAAGCATCATTTTTGGGATACGTTTAAAAGGGATCATTGTTTTAATGCTGCTCATTTTTATAGCTAAATCGTTTACTTGTCTGGGTAATTAATCTTCTCTTTTTTGATATTGTATTTTCTTTGTTTGTGCTTTTGTGTTTGGGTCGTGCGTCTCTTAGAAGCAACCTCTCTACTTCTGAATAGGGGTAAGATCTGCGTGCAACACCCTTCTTAGACCTAATTTTCGTGGGGTTTTACTCGATTTGTTGTTGTTTTTGAAGTATAGGTACTGAACTGAACTTAAATCTAAAACTTCGTATCGAAAACCATGAAGTCTATGTTGCTAAACCACCCTCGGAATTTCACGTTTCTTGTCACGATACTTTTTAACCGATGTACGCTTTGATGGGTTAACTTTTGACAGGCAGTTTTCTTCAGAAGCGACAGGAATTGACAAAGAAGCAGACCTTGGCACCATCAAAATGATGGAGAAGAACCTCTTTCGCCTCTTTTGGTCCATAACGATGACCTTGGTTTCAATTTCGAGTCTTTTGGTCTGCTTAATCCTGTCTTGGACAACCAAGAACCATAACCAAAATCTTTTGTTTTTCGCAGTCAAGTATACCCGCAATGAAGTAGAAACGATCAATATTTTGTACATACTCTGTTCTTTGAAATGTAATCATCATAACATGCGTAGCGTGACAAGAAATGTATCTATATAAATAGGTCTAAAGCATGAAATTTATCCCGTATTGGCATTGTGAAATGCCTCAAGCTGACATTGTGCGTTGGCATTTCACCGTATTTCTGACATTATTTGGTATCCCAATTCTTATCTTGCTAATATAAATATTGGAAGTCTTATTTGGGATTTTGGGTATATGAAACATGTTTCAGTTCAGTTAGGTATTTGATCTGATTCGATTCAAGATCCCAAAGATACAATAATATGGATTACATGCTTGCACCGGAATTGAGTGGTTCACAATTCTTCTCACTTCTCAAACACATCCTAAATATAGTTTTTTAATTAGTTTTTCAACATTTTATTTAAATTTAAAGTCAAATGAAGTTTTTTGTTTACGGAGGGATTTTGCTTGTGTAATCGAAGTCTATTATTCGCATGGAATAAGAGAATATAAACCAAATGTTTTAACTGGAAAGAAAGGAACATAATTAGTAAGACTTTTGTCTAACACTGTCTCATAATATTTGTTCAATTTTAATTTTGTGCATTCAAAATTGAAAGCATTAAACATTAATTAAATAAAATTTATATTAGATATTGACATAAGAATAGTTTTAGTAGATTTATCTTTTAATATATTTTCAAAATATTTCTTTATGTAATATAACATGTAATTTTTAATTCATTATAGGTCAAATGTCGATCTGGGTCGACTACAAAAATCCAAAACTGGACAAATACTCTGAAACGAAAGGAGTTCATCGGATACTCATCTAGCATTCCAATATGAATAGAATTGAGTATGGTGTAAGCGAGGCCAGTTCTAGTGAGAATGACTCTTACCGTGAGAAATGAGAACTATTCATTTTTCGTTTGTCATGATGCATTTTACAAAGAAGGTAGTACATTTCGACAGTTGAAACAAAGCTTGACTTATTTACACACACACAGAACACAACAATTTTTATCCAACGGATCTTATGAATTCTTATTTCTTGTATTCCTCAATGGGGTACTATACATCATTTTCATTTGAAACAAAATCAACGTTCCCATCTCGAAACGAGCAATATAAATTTAGACTGAGGGAATGTGCAGTATTCTCAGTTTTGTGCCTTTGGCACAAACCTCGATTCTGTGCCAAAGACAGAAACCTCGGTTCTGTGTCAAAAGCACAAACGACATGTTTAGTTGTCCCACCTCTAATGACACATTTAATTTTGACATAACGTTCTTACTTTTTCTATCTTTTCAATCAATTTTACACTATCTCTTACATTTTCAATTCTTTTTACACATTCTCTATATTATTTTTTCAATCCTCATGTGCCATTTAGCATGGGCTTCACAATTTGATAGTCCATGTCTATAAACATCGTGTCTTCCATGTTACAGCCCAAGGGATTTGAATTGCAGGCTGCCCCAAAATCTGATAAAACTTTTAGGAAAAAGAAATGTGCAATATACATGCACAGAAATGACTATTTTTGACACTTGGAAATATAGTTTTATCAAACAACTATCCAAACATTAGGTGATACCACAACGTCTTCAACCCCAAAAACGCGTTTTGAAAACACGGCATCATTCAACCACATTGCATGTTTTCAAATCGCATATACCCAAACACCCACTTGCTACATGAAGATGAAAACAATGTGAAAGAGGCATTTGTATGCAATGGAATTTAGGGATACTAAAAGCCTTGGTATAGAAAAAAAGAAAAGAGAAAAAAAAGAATCACGAGTTTACGAGACAGCAAGGGAAACTGGTCATGAAGATCACTTGATAAAACTATATAAAGATTTGATTTGTACCTCATTCGTTCGTTCATGTACATTCGTTTGGAGAGGGTTGACCGTTTGTGTTTGTGGAACTTAGCTGCCCCATTTGCTCAGTAAGCTGTTCCATGTTCTCCCACCTGTTCTCATCTGTCGTGGTTTCGTCATCCTGGGGATCTTCACTTGCGATTAAATCCATCTGTTCCGCGTCAGCACCGGGTGGACTCAGAAGAAACTTCTCCCAGAAGGAGGTGTCAAGAGGTAGGTCCTCATCCAACAGAGCATTCTGCCACTCGATTTGAGGGTCTGGAGAAAATCCATCGATTTGTAAGTCCATTTTCCCATTCTCTTCCAGTGATGTGGGAGTGATACCCATGTTGCTTTGAGACCCAACAACCTCTTGTATCCGATAAAGCTCAGGAATCATCATATCTGAAGCAGGAAGCATATCTTGAGCCCCTACCGCAGGACTTGTATCTGAAAATGGCTCATTTCCCATATCAGCAGTGTTCAGTGGTGGGGAAGAGTGAACCTCAGATATAGCCGTTAGTGAAACACAATTTGGTGGGCTATCATGGTCTAATGTATTAGACTGAGATGAAACATCATCACCCATAACAGAGCTATCCAGTCTGGGAGGAGGAGGAGAATCCAATTTTTTCATCATCTGTCGAAGCATAGTTGTTGCTGTGTCATTCATCATGGGTTGATACCTCACGATCTGACCGTCAGCTGCGCTAACAGATTGTTCATCTGATTCACCAACATCCTGTTTAAGCCTCCGTTTCTTGTTCCCTTCTGTGATGCGCCTATTGCTGATGTCATTTTGCTGCTGCACGAAATGTGCCAGAAATCCAGGACTGTTGACGGCCTTTGCGAGGAATGACATGATCTGTTGCTGCCGCTGCTCCATAGCCTGGAGTCGCTGTGCCATTGTTTGCATCTCATTGTCTGTGGATTGCTGATGTTGCCTCAGCCTGAAGATTTCTTGCATAAGTACATTTTTGTCCCTCTTCAACATCTCAACTTCCTCTTCATAACCAAATTTCCCAACCTCAACACATGCCCCAACAGATGAACTGGTTTGCCCTTGTGGTTGTTGCTGCGGGTGATTCTGTCCATGAGCAGGTTTTCGTCGACTGATGTTTTTAAGAAGGTGCTTTTGACCCCTTAAAAAACCCTCGTTAGCGAACTCCCAGCGGTCTGGATCAACCTTTCTAAAACCCTATTCTCCGCAGAAAAGTTCATAGAGAGATACATAAGATTCAAGATTATTCACTGGTAAGTTCAATCAACAGGCTGTATCATTTGTGCCTAAAGACAAAAAACTAAGCTGACCATTCAAGAGCATATAGATTTAGTGATTGAAATTGCATATTCTTATGTACATCAAATACGAGCAGGCGTGCAGGACCGGATGACAAACAAGGTATGGTTATGAATGTATGCCCAAAGTAGAATTCCTTATTTGTAAAAAAAAGGAGCCCAGAGCACTACATAATAATACTCTGTACTTCTGTAGTAAGTTGTGAGGTTAATTACATAGTTAACATTTGCCTCCCCACGGTTTGGTCAAGTTACCAAATCCTTCCAAAATTTTATCCCAATTTTCAACATAGTAGGACATAGTAAAAAACCGGGAAAGGAAAATGATGCAAATGTACTAGTAAATAGTGGTCATGCGCTTCTGAACAGGCAAAGAAAATATTAATCCGTTAAGAACGAATGGGAAATAGCTACATTGAAGAGAAAGAAGAGATCTGAAGGCTATATTTCCAACAATTCAACTAAATTCCAGAATTAATCTTAAACCTTAAATTACTGCATAACCTTGTTTTCAATGAGATCTAAAAGAGAGACTTGTAAAAAGAGACGATCTTGATACATTCAAAAATCATAACAACAATAATACAATATAAAAAACAAAATACCAACATCGGGCCTTCATGAGACATCAATAGCACCACTACAAACTAACATAAAAGTATTAAACTCTAAAAATTCCCATGAAACAAGAACAATGAACTTGCTTCAAGAATACATGGTGTTCAATTCTAAACCATACAAATATCACATAAATAGGCACACCTTTTTACTTGGGCACTTCACAGAGGATAAATGTGTCTTGTTGCCCAAACTAGTTGGGATAGACTATTTGTTTTTATTTTAATTGTCATTTAATCATTCATTCCTGTCACAACTGGTGTTGTTATTCAAGACAAGCCGAGTCTGATTTCCGAATACCACATACTCAAGCTCAACGCAAACCTATTTTCATCATAGCACGTTAAGGTTTTAAAATTGAGCTCAACTCGTTCCACACTTAAGCCCGAGCCTCATCAAGCCGACCCAATTTAGGCTTACGAATGTGATATCACCACTCATATGCAAGGTTAAAACTCTAAACACATGTCTTCTCCCTAAACTAGAGGGGGTGAGAATAAAATTCAAAAATCAAATGAGCCATATGTTCAGTGTAAATAACAATAATCCTATGATGTACATTGAGTTTTTCAAGGCATCCTAACACAAAAAAATAAGTCGATCATGGCATCGAAACAACCAGTGAGCATCTGTGTCCTTCACTTATGCCTTGTTGAATGTTTCATATAAGTCATATCACATTCGAGAAAATCAAGACTAATAGACTATAATACTCCGTAAGTTACCAATAAAACTGCAGAAGAAAAAAACTACAGGAGTATAAATTCTGCAGAAGAAATGTGCGCTCTGTTACAATCACTTTCATGTTCCCAACACCTAGGTACACCACCATGTCATCTAAAATTCAAGCACTATCATATCTACTTTCCTACTGAGTGAACAGTCAGTTACAGATATTAAAGTGATCCTAACCAACAACCAGTTAACCACAGAAATATGGGCCTAATGCACCCTAAAATAGGGTAAGGGAATAAGTTTTTTTAAATCTCAATACTATACCCAAATCAATATCCAGATAAAGAAATTGAGTAGTAATTACATACATATGTATTCAACTGGCGAACGAAGCTGGAGAAGTTACTGTGCTTGAAGTACTTGGGGAGTAGGTTCCTGCCGAACTCCGGGGGATCCCAAACAACAAAGCTGTTGTTAGTAGCGCTCCAAGAGACGATCTTGTCTGTGCTCGGGTCCTCCACCATGTCGTAAGTCTTCACCAGGAACGGAGGCGGAGAGTTGGCGCTAGGCATAGGCGCCGGCTGCGGTGGATGAGGCGGAGGAGCTCCATTTCCTCCGGCGCCGTTCCCGCTACTCCTAGAGCTCAATTCCATCTCCTTCGGACAGTTTGAAAGTACAAAAAAAGGCGAAAACCAAAACAGCTGCAGACGGTGCTCTTATCATCTAGTTTAGATCTATTCCCGGCTACGCGTATGGTAGCATGATTCCAGCGCAATCGAGAACGGGAGCCATTGACGAGGAGCCACAACCCTAACTTCCAAGAGATGAGATGAAGAGGAAAATGATGACCGGAGCCGGAGGGAAATTGAAGGTATCGGGTTGCCCAGTGGTGGTTGAAACTTGAAATCGAAATCGGGGCCGTGAATTTGATGTGACTTAAATCATGTTGATTTATATAAAGGGAGGACCTTTATTCTCTACAATTATCTATACACAAGTTTGGTGTATATGAAGGCTTGTCTCAAAATATCATTTTCGATGACCATAAATATTTTGGATAAAATTTTAATTATATATATTATTTTTAAAAATGCTAACGCTAAACGCTGCTTATAAATATTCTTTTCAAAATGCTAATACTAACATTTAACGCTATTCCTAAACAAATTCTAAGATTCGTATAACATTTACCAAATTTATAGTATATTAAATACTCCCTCCGTCCACCTAAGATCTTCCCATTACGCGTTACGAGGCTTGACCGACTTTATTTTTAATTCAATTTAATTGATTATAAGAGTAAAATTTTAAAATAAAATTTATATAGTAATAAACTACATGAAAAGTTCTACAAAACTAGAGGTGACAAGATTATATTATTTTATGAAATGACTAGTGAAAATGAGCAAACAAAGTAAGTGAAGTTTGACCCTGTAAATAGTGACTGGGAAGATCTATGGTGGACAGAGGGAGTATATCATAAACATGCATAATAACAAATGTCTATATGTTACTAATAAGACAAAGGAGTGCTCGTGAAGTAAGGCCGCATGGTATAATTTCGTCGATGCCGACTACCACGCTAGATGGAAGAAGCCACGCGAGAGAAGGAGAAGAATGAAGAAGGCTGGGTGTGGGTGAGAGAGTGTCATGAAGGAGAGTATTGAATAATGGACAACTGATCAGAGCTGGGATTGTTTGTAGTAAAAAGGTCCGTATGGACATCAATAGAGGGAGTAGCAGGGGAACCAACATGCAATTTTTGCTCAATTTGAATATTAATTCTTTCGATAAGAGCCAAGACGAAATCATATTGATGTTCAGAGAAGCAATATTGGTTCGTATATTTTGTTTCAAGAGAAATTTACCTAAATAGGACTAAAACATAATGACTTTCCCAATATAGGACCATATGTTTTTATTTCCCAATGTATGACTTTTGGTCATTATCAAGTAGTCATTATTCAAGTAAATGTCCATCATTAATGGACATTATTCCTCCCACTAGGTCATTATTAAGTCCTATTTAGGGAATAAAAAAGTTTAAGTCCTATATTGAGAAAGTCATTATGTTTTAGTCCTATTTAGTGCAAATCTTACTTGTTTCAAAGGGGCATATTCTTGTGGCAAACCACACAGAACACTAAGAACAATATTTTGTTCAGGAATGGTTCTTGAGCAAGAACAATAGAGGTCACAATATTGAGTGCACAATCTAAACATGATTGCATAACACTTTGGTTTTTCCTAAGATTATGAAGTCACTACTTAAGCTGAAAGATATGAATGCAGGATAAAGAGTTATACCGTTGATGAAGTTAATCCCAACTTTGAGAAGCGATGGAGTAAAGGTGTACCAAATTTTGGATCGTTGGAGGAAGAAGAGACGCATGCAACTGAGCATCAATAATAACCCACTGATCATACGTCAGATTTGGTTTTAGAAATGGTTGTTTGTCAGCACTGATAGGATCGGAGATTTTTCATCGAGAATCAACTGTGAAAGAGGCGTCCTTGTGGCATCAGCATACCCAAGCAGACGATGAGCTTCAAGGGTAGCTTTAACCGTAGATGACCATCATGGATAATTTATATCTTCAAGTTTTACGAGAACAAACGAGTGTAGATTTTGGAGGAAAAACCGCAAACCCCTAGGTAAAAAAATCAAAAAGATCTTTGTTAGATCCATTCACCATGATGAACCGACAAGAAGAAAAGGAACAACGACGGAAGCGGATCGGCTATAACTAATAATAAAGGGGGATCTATTTTTTATTGCCGAAGAAAGAGAGTCGGACTGGAAAAAAGGAAGGAAGAGAGCTACGATTGAGTTGTGGGAAAGAGAAATAGAAGAAACATAAGCTCCGAAACCATATTGAATGAAATAGTGTGTTGATCAAAAGGATAAGGAGTGCATGATAGAGTATATATAGAGAGGGAATGCAACCCCAATTAGAACTAGTAAACAATAATAGAAGATGACTAAACACAAACTCTACCATTATTAATATTGCCTATAACTAATTGTTTAACAGAGAGAGAGAAGAAGAAGAAAATGAAAGAAGGAGAAGAAAAAAGGAAAAAGATTTCGGCAAGCTCGGTATCTGCGCGCCTTTTACGTTGAACACCAAACGGGGGGCGGTATTTCTGTCGGCATCGATTGTTGCGTGGCCAATATCGAGCCCTATACCATGCAGACTAATACTCGAGTTCAATTCCTAACAAATGTACTGGAAGGCAACTATGATTATGATAAGTATATGACATTTGCAAGTACGAGATGCAGACTCCACTCTTTAGCCCCGAACTGTTATTAAAGTATAATTTACCTCTCAGGCTCTCACGTGATCGTCGATTGGTTCTAAGGCTCGTTTAGAGATGTAGTTCGACTTTTAAAAAAATTGAACACGAAGACATGCTCCTCCATCGTTCATAATAATCCATTTTTTTATTGTGGTAGTATCCAACTTTGGATCTTATAAAAAGCGATACTCAATCTTTAACTTGTAGTATAAGAGGTTTCATTTTAAAATATACGGAGTATATAACAAAAAGTGCCTCTTGTCTAGAGGTGGCAATCGGGTCAACCGGATCGGTTTCACCGTTTCGGGTTGGACTTTTTCGGTTCGGATATTTATTAGTTATATGTTATAATCGGTTCGGATCAGATCGGATCGGTTAAATTTCAGTTCGGATTTGATTCGGTTCTATACATTTTTCGGTTTGGTTCGGTTTTGAGTCGGTTCAGATTCGGTTTGGTTATAAATCGGTTTAGATATATTTCAGTTCGGATACAATTTGAGTCGGATACAATTTGAAAACATATATATCTAATTATGATATAAATTTAATATAATTAAATTGATTTTAAAATTTAGTTTTGAAATATCAATTTTTTCTCACATCTACTAATATACTTATGTTTATAAATGAAAAGATAAAAGATAAATTCAAATAGTGTTATGTTCCATTTGAATATAATTTGGTAAAAATTGAGTAAAATTGGGTGAAATTAAGTGAAAAATTTATAAATTATTGAGTGTATTTGGTTGAAAATAGATAAAATTAAATTTAATAGAGTCAAATATAATTAATGTTACACCTAAATGTAATGATGTAGATCAAATTTGAAAATGATAACACTAAATTCTGCCGCTAAAGAGTCTTTTTAAAATGCTAACACTAGCATCCAACTTTATTGACTAGTATTGGGGGAATTGGTTTGAAATTAATCAAATTAACTATCAAATCAATAAAATTTATTGTAATGAGATGAAATTAGGATAAAATCTAGTTATTCCATACAAATCATCATATAATCATTTCGTCCCACAAAGAATATCATACTTCACTATTTAAAAATTATGAAAATTTTATTTGTTTGTACGTTATCATTTATATATATATATGTATAACTTATCTTTAATTTCTACATATAATAAATTTAAGGCATGAAATTTTGTACTTTTTTCAAGAAGATAATCCATTTTATGAGGGAATGAGCAAGTAATGTACTTAGTTCAAATGGTAAAATAAAAATAAAAAATTTAAAAATATAATATGGTTATTGAAAGGCAAACATAGTTTCGAATTTATCGATTTTAGTTCTAATCGGGTTCGGATACTATCGGTTTCGGATCTTATCGATTCCGGGTATTATCGGTTTCGGATCTAATCGGTTTCGGGTTTAATCGGTTCGGATATTATTGGTTCCGGATCTAATCGGTTTCAGATTTAAATCGGATATGAATTATTTAGTTCGGTTTCGGTTTGATTCGGATCATTTTGGGTTTTCGGTTATAGATCGGATCTTCATTTTTCGGGTCATTTCGGTTTCGGTTTCGGATATTTTGATTTGGGTAATCGGTTCCGGTTCTGTTTTGCCAGGTCTACTCTTGTCGGAATATTGAGAGTATGACAAGTGAGTGCACATATGACATTTCAGTTGGTTTATTAGTACACCTTGGTTCCCATGACATTGGGAACTAATGTCTTGGGATGACCCGGGGCGTTCCGGTGGCCCATTCGTAATTTGACTCCAAAGTCAAAATCAACTTATGGCGTGCAATTAGGGGTGTTCATCGGTCTAAAACAAGACCGAACCGGACCGGACCGAAAACCAAACTATGCTAAAACCTAGAACGAAGACCAGACCTAAATGTAGTCGGGTTTGGACCGGACCGACCCAAAATCTTATGGACCGAACTGGTCCAGACCGAAAAAGACCGAATCCAGGTGTGGCTGGAATTGAAACTTTCCCCACCGGCAAAACCGTAGGTGTGAAAAATTGGGGGTTTTGCAATCCCGAACCAAATGCTGCAATTGAGGAGTCAAGGTGGGTCGTAAAGATGTCAGGAAGATGCCTGGGTGGGTGCGCGACGTCGAATTTGCCGGAGGTGGGCGGAATCTGCAAATACCCCAGGCAACCGCCGTGACGGGTCGCAATTGATTCACAGCGATTCCAGCGTCCAAATCCCACGAGTTGGAGGAGGATTCCTTCTCCGGCGCAATTTTCCAGACCAAAACGGAGAGGTTGTGCTCCGCGGAGAAGAAGAACAAGAGGAAGAAGTTGGCCAACCAAAGCATGCCATGTGTCCTCTCTTAGCTTTCATATCTATCTAAATTGAGTATTGCTATGTTCACAAACAGAATACTCACAAACTTCACAAAATTTCTATTTATAGTTTAAAATTTCATTTTAAAATCATTTTAGACCATTTAATTTTTTTCATTGAACTTCACAAATAGCAAGTTTGTGAAGTTTGTGACCATTGAGTTTGTGAACCAAGCATTTCCCATCTAAATTTTCCATATTCAATTTGTTTAGAAACCAATTTGAAAACTTTTACAAATTTGTATACCATAAATTACAAATTCATTTACAGGAAAAAAATTATTTAAATGTTTCAAGATTTTTTTGTGGCGGCTCTTAACTCTTTTTGTTGGGTTAGTTATTTTTTTTAT